GCAGGAGGATACGCATGCTCACCGACATCCCCCCCTGCCTCCTCTCCCTCCTGTGGTACATTCCAGATAGATGTCAGAGGCATTTAAATGAGGAGGATCAGCTCCAGAGGCAGCTGTAGTGCAGCGACAGCTGGCCTGAACCAGGAGGCAGACAGACACAGAGGGGGGTCACACTCTGGGAAGTGAGGGGGAGTTCAAGGATCTGCAGGACCAGCTCTTTGTATGTATGACAGGGTCAGACTGAGTAGAATAGAGGCAGTGACTGTTTGACTTTGTGAGTGTGGAGCTGCTGATGACTATGAGAGTGTGTGTATTTCTGTGTATTTCTGTGTTGTGTATTTGCCAGCATTGTCCTCTGACTGGATGTTTGAAGTGTTTCTCTCTTGTGTCTCCCCATCCTTCCATCTCGTCTTGTTTAACCCATCTTGAGGGGTCAGCAGACGCCATCCTGGGCCGTTTGCTGTTTGGCATGCTCCATCTCCCCCACCAGGACAGCCTCTCTGTCTCTCTCTCTCTCCCTCCTCTCTCAGCCCTGCTAGCTGCTGGTTAACTCTGAGACAGGTACGCTCCACTACCCTCATCCCGTCAAGAAGCACAAACAATCCTCACCCCCCACAATCCTTGACCCTCCCCCCTCTTCTGTCCTGTCCCTATTTCCTTTCACACTCACTGCCACTCTCCTCTGCCTGTCCCTTGACGGCTTTGTGTAATAGCTCCGAGCAGCGCTGTCTTTCCACTGTGCTGAGGAGAATGTGTGTCGATTGATTGCCCCACAAAAGCAGCTCTCTCTTGTGTTTTGAAGATTGTGCAAAGGTGCAACTCTGCACAAAAGAGCTGAGAGCAGAGCTGGTCGATAAACAGAAACCTGCTGACTGCACCTGCAACTGTGAGGAACTGTTTTCAGTGCTAGTGGGCATTCAACCTTTTCATATTTTCAGTATTTCTTTTCTTTAAGATTCAAGTGACTGGGAGCAGTTCCTATAGAGGGCCAACTCTGGTCTGCAGTTCAAGCAGCTGCAGACACCAAAGCAAAGACTTTTATTTCACATGTGGAGAGGCATCAGCTGTTTGGTGCAGAGCCAGAGATGCTGGAGGAGTGAAGTATCCTTCAGAGAAGCAGAATGAAACCAGAGTTAGATCTGACTGAGTCCTCGATGCTACCGTGTGTTTACTGTGTGTTTCTCTTCTGGACAAGAGACTCTGTGAATGAGCAGCCATGTTTAATTTTAATTATACAAAATTATGTGTCTGCAACACACAAACTGAAATTTAACATCGAGTCATGATGTTGACTTTATGTTTATGATTTTGGCACTGATCAAATATAGGGCTGCATATTCAGCAGTATTTTTTTAAAACGACCAAAATGTTTCTAGACCACAGAGTTTTGAAAACTGTACTGAAAGCTTGAAACTAATTGTGTTTCATACACTTCCACATGAAACCCCCCCAAAAAGAGAGCATAACCTTCATTGCTTTGTTTTTCCCTGTAATTCTGCTTCTGAGACAGGTCAACTCTGTGTACATTTCCTTTTTTCAACAGAAGATGTGAGTCAGTGCATCTTACTGTGGGCTGAGTAACAAATGTGCATAGTCAGTGGTGGCAGGTGGACCGTGGTTGGTGATGCATGTCCTGTGTGGTGGTTAAACAGTGAAAGGAGGGAGAAGGGGAGGGAATCTTTGGACATTTGATAATTATCACTTCGAATTTCTTTCTCTAGGGCAGGCAGGAACTTGGATGTCACTGAGATGAAGTTTCCCATAGGCAGGAAAGATAACACGCAGCCACACAGATGAGGTTCTACAGGATGTCTCCTGACCCCTGGGCTCTGTCTCCCCTCTGGCCTTTGAGCTTTGAATGACTTTCCACTTCTCATTTCAACCCAGAGGACCTTTTTACGCTGCACCGTCTGATTTGAGTTCACCTAGAGTTAAGACTCGCCATACTCTGTACTGCTGCTGAAATATGCATGCAGTGGACGTCCCTTTGCAAGCTGATACTTTTTGACCTGGTTTTGAGGCTAACAATATGGAACGACGGACCGTGCCAGATCGTGTGTTGCGTTGTCTTTGATTCAACATGTTTCTGTATGAGACATCTGGCGATTGTGGAGAAATGGAGCTCTTGTGTTGCTGTCCTTCTGCTCCTGTCAGGTCAATAAAAGCTTTAGGCCACTGGATTATGTAGCATATTCAAGCAAAACATGGCTGACTTTCGTTTCTGAGTGGTTTGTTGTGAAATGCAGGGGGATGAGTTGTTACATAAGCATAGATGCTACCGATCCAAATATAGCAGCCATTAGGGGCTGAGCTCCAGGTCTGGTGGGCTGGTTTACTGTGGCCCAGCAGGATGTCTTTGCGGCTGGATGCTGCTCTTGCCCTCCATGTCGGTGTCCACTGTTATCATGACCACGTGATATTACTCAACCCTGACAGCAGGGACAACATCATTGCCGGCCATTATACAGACAACCCCTCCTCCAATCACCAGAGGAGGGATTGTGTGGAGGACAGTTTGGCATCACAGCGTGTGTTGACTACAACAATTCATTAGCTGCAGATTCGTTTTCAATTATTCAAACCATTGACTGAATTTCACCAATTATTTAGAGTAAACCTGGTTAGTCTGGTTTATTTTATCAAGCAATATTGAAAAATGCAATATTCAACTGCAACTGTAAAACCAGTTACCAGTTTTAATGTTTTGGCTGACTGGTATATCTCTTGAAAAATATTAATCTTAAATAACAACAAACAAGATCACAGATCTCAAAAGCAAATAGGTTAAAGTAGGTGGGATAATCATTTTAGAACATAGGACAAGATGGTGAATATCTCTTGTACATTTTAAGGTCTTATGCACTAGTTTGATGATGATAAATTGCCAAACACTAGCGTATGTGATGGACTTATCAGTTGTGCGACTTGGTGTCATCGGTGTTTCAGCCTTTTATTCACAGGCTGATCATACATCTTAACATCTTGGGGCCCAGTTGGGGTCTTTCCTCCTGATCCAGAGCCATTGGCTGCAGCCTTGTGCTGTCCCTGATGTGTCTTTTACTGTCTGGTGCAGGGCTTGTCCATAGATTCCCAGCTCTTTAAGCATCCAGATGGTGGATGTTGCAATAAAACCCCTGCAGCCAACTTCCACTGGGCGGACTATTGCTCTCCAGTGATATTTTTCTGCCTCAGATGCCATCTCCACATCCCCCAGCCTCTCCCCATCATTCAGTTCATCAGCAGCATCCTCCCAGGGTTCTATCTGTTCTACGCAGTAGATGACACACAGGCTGTTGGACCGGAGAACCAGATAAACAATAATGAATAGCAGTATTTACAAAAGAGTAGTAATAATAGTCGTTATACCACAAATCATGAAAATACAATAACATAGAAACTATTCTATCAAACCTACGCCATATAGATAAACACATAAAATATAAACATATGCACATAAAGATACAAATATATTAATAGTATTGAATCAATCATTGTAGTACAGCCATCATCATCACACTAAATACAACCACAGGCCTGAGTAGTCATTGTTTTAGCTCATCCTTCCAACCATATACTTCAAAAAAATTGGAAGTGAGAGAAGGAAGTGAGAGAAGAGTTTTCAAACGTTACATCTCTTATTTTATACAGTTGATCTCAACTTACTCACACTAATGTTGAAGCTCAACTATCCAGTTCCACAGAAGAAGTTTGTTTCCCTCAGTTTTCACTAAATGATTTCAGTCTTAGGTTCTTGTGTATGTTCTTTACTGTGTGCAGAGTGGGATGTGTTGATTGGACAGTGTTGAGCAGAAGGTGATAAACTAGGGTGAGTTGTGTTCGTGCCAATAATTACAGCATCTCCTCTTCTCTGTTTATAGCTACCGTCCCATGTTTTTATACCTTTTAATGAAACTTTTCGTCGACTCCTGATTGGCCAACCTCTCGTCATAGAGCACACAGGCTCAAACATAATGTGTTAAATAAATCAGACTTGTAATACAAAGATCTCACAGTTTCATTGTCAGACAGGTATCACACAGTGCACCCTCTTTGACCTTGTGTGTAGTGGTTATAAATACTGACGGACAACAGACCCACTGACACTCTAGCACACACAGGATGAAATATTCAGCGGGTTCATGAATATTTCAGAGGCAGGTGCATAGTTTCCAGTGAAAGATGAATATCATTGCTGTGATGGCACTTTCTCTCCTCACTGATAAATCCATAACTTTTCTGTTTCTCACCCGCTGTTGTTTACAACCCTGTGTCCCAGCATCCACTCACAGCTGTGTTCTGTCCCAATCCGTATTTTCAAGGACTTCCTATTTCCCTCATTGTCCCCTTTCTGTAATGAAGAAGATGTTTGTAGAAAACTTGAGTCTCCCAACAATGGAGGGCATTTGCCGGTGTTTGTGCTCATGGGCTCTCCACCTGAATGGTCCATTGTGCAGCCGCTGACCTCCACTGTTGTGTGCAGGCCCACTGACAGAGGAAGAACCAGACTGTTCTGTTCACTGTGAACTCTCGTCCCATAACCCTAACCTTATGTCGAAGGAATGAAAAACCATGGAGTAAAAATACACTCAGCTGGATGATTGAGCTGCAGTTTTTCATATCAATTAAAACCAAATTCACCACAAAAATGAGCATACAGGGATGTATTAGTGTGACAAGAACCTAAACCTAAAAAGACAGAAACCTTGACCAAAAGTTATTTTACGGTTTTACTTTTGGCCCACGTCCCATCCACTAACATGGAGGAGGTGGGATTTAAGATCTGTACTGCAGTCAGGAGGTAGCAACCAAGATGCTTTGGCTCAGAAGCCCAAAACGTAAAGATATTCAATTTAACTCATAGATATTCATTATTTTAACAGGGTTGACAGTTAGTGAGGCCCTTGTACTTTTCTTCATTCTTAAGTCTCACTCTCGTTAGGATGCATCATTTCTCTCTTTGAATGATTTCTTTTCCTTTTTCTCCCTCCCTTTATCTCCAGTTGATCTCCGTGGTAAGCGCCACCTCCTCACTTCCCAGCATTCCTTGCCTGGGATCCCGGTGGCCTTGAAACAGTCCATTGACCTGCGTACATCCATGGACGGGAAGTACAAGGAGATTGCCGAAGTCAGTTATTAACGTTATAAAGTCGCATTTACTTTATATGTATGTGAAGCTTTCCTAATGTTGTTTACTGTGTGTCTGTGTGAAGGAGCTGTTCTCCCGCAGCCTGGCAGAGAGTGAGATGCGTAGCGCCCCCTATGAATTTCCAGAGGATAGCCCCATCGAGCAGCTGGAGGAGCGACGGCATCGCCTTGAGCGTCAGATCAGCCAGGATGTAAAGTAAGTTGGAGAACAGCAAGAGGCAGGTGCTATAATATAATAACACATGTGACCATGGATGCAGTCAGACTCTGACCCTGTGATGATCTTAAAATGAGCTCTGTCCTCAGGTTTGAGCCTGACATCCTCCTGAGAGCCAAGCAGGAGTTCATGAAGACTGACAGTGCCACTGATCTCGAGTGAGTTCATCTCTCCATCCACTGAATGTATATTTTATCTTGCCAGAAAAGCCTGTAAAAAAGTTAGTAATGTTTTTTTAAAATCTATCATTAGATATATGAAGGAGCAGAGCCAAGCGCCTGAGCTGCAGGAGCGAGAACTGGTCCCAGAGAAAGAGTACCAGAGAGTCTCGATCTCTGGGGAGGAGAAATGTGGGGTAAGGCCAATCAGTGCAGCAACACAGGAGGAATCAGAGGAGCACGTGGAGCTATTTCACACAGAACTTCTATTGTGGTGTTTCTTTGTTAATTTAACACCTCCTCTCTCAAAATAGACACCGTCTATTGTTTTCCTCTCTGCCTCTATCTTCACTCCATTGTTTTTCTATCAGGTCCCCTTCACAGATCTGTTGGACGCGGCCAAATGTGTGGTGAAGGCTCTGTTCATCAGACAGAAGTACATGGGTTTGTCCCTGCAGAGCTTCTGCAGGACCACCGCTCGTTACCTGCAGGAGCTCAGTGAGAGACCCCTGGACCTGGACGTTTACGAGGAGGAGTTCACAGTCACAGCAGGTACCTTCACATTTATCACTGTCTGCACTGTTCTCACACTATATATCTGTACTGTCCTGTGCATGTGGAACCAACAAACAGGAGGCCAGTTAGTTGTAAGATGACGAGGTGAAATTACATGACTGACGGCTGAGACTGACTCAAGATTGGTCGTGTATCAATGGAACCTCCATCCCCCGATTGTTAGAGTGCAGACTCTATGTAGTGGTGATATTTTGTCTTAATTTCATTTCGATCATTTCATTTCGATAGTGGGAGGAAGTGGAGACAAGTCGTCCATCTTTATATACAGTCTTTTTGGTTTTGGGATGTTTTTTGGGTAAAACAAGTCATTCAGAGACACTGCCTTGTTTTTAAACATTGTAGAGCCAAAAAAAAGATCTTGCCAATTTGCTTGTGATTTTCAAAAAGTTTTGATTCTATGAAATATACAACATCCTCTATCCAAAGACCCTGAGTTCTAGGGAGACAGACAAGATATAGATGTATGGGTATGAGACAAAGAAACAAAAAAAAAGATTGTTCCAAATAATTCTCATAAAAATAACTTTTAATAAAAATACACTATTGAAGCTCTGCTTACACAAAAACAACTGTTAATATGTCATGTCCAGTGTCATGTATAGTCACATTAAGACATAACCGGGCACGCCCACAGACTCCACAATCCATCTGTTTCACACCCTAGTAGAGGCTGTCACAACGGGCAGGCTGGTTCAATCAGACCTTCGTTTGCATGTGCGTTACCACCTCGTTCAACACCGTGACACAGTGCAACATTCTGTCCCCTCACAGATGCCACAGTGCACCCACCTGTGTCTGAAAAGCACCCGTATGAGAACCAGGACGCTTCCAGCATGCCCCCTGACATGGGTTATGGCTGCAAGATGGTGGATGGTGTCATGCATGTGTACACAACAAGGAGCATTATGGAAAAGTGAGATGTTCATGATGAGTCATTTGGCACACGCATGCTGTATCTTGGTAGGATGGTTGCATGTTTTTAGAACCAGATCACGTATTGTGTTTTTTAACAGGAGCACAGAGCTGGACCTGCCATATCCAGACCTGCAGGAGTACATCGCTGATATGAACGTGATGATGGCCCTCATCATCAATGGCCCAGTGTGAGTTTATATCAGAGAATAACATACTAACTTTCAATGACCCTTCAAATGGCTGCTGTCCTGGTGTTGAACCATCTCAGTACACAAACACAAACTATTTGTTCTTTGTTTTCTGTCACCACAGAAAATCCTTCTGTTACCGTCGCCTGCAGTATCTTAGCTCCAAGTTCCAGATGCACATCCTGCTGAACGAGATGAAAGAGCTTGCAGCGCAGAAGAAAGTTCCACATCGAGACTTTTACAATATCCGGAAGGTGAATTTCAGAGCACTTTCTACTTTGCCCAATCAGAATTATTTGCTATAATCCAGACCCAGACTGTATATGTTTTTTAATACAACGGTTTGTCCGCACAGGTTGACACACATATACACGCCTCGTCCTGCATGAACCAGAAGCACCTTCTTCGCTTTATCAAGAGGGCCATGAAGAAGTACCCAAAGGATATTGTTCATGTGGAAAGAGGGAAGGGTCAGACACTCATGGAGGTGTTTGAGAGCATGAACCTGACAGCGTTTGACCTGAGTGTGGACACCCTGGACATGCACGCAGTAAGAGATGCCCACAGAGGATGGATCAAGCGCTAATCCTTTCAGAAGCACAGCCTGGTCTAAAAAATGCACCACCATGTTATAAAGTGAAATGCTTCAACTTCTGACTATTTTTTGCAGGACCGTAACACGTTCCATCGATTTGATAAGTTCAATGCCAAATACAATCCCATCGGCGAGTCCATCCTGAGAGAGATCTTCATCAAAACAGACAACTACATCGAGGGGAAGTACTTTGGTCACATGATTAAGGTGCTTAGTGAACACATGAACTCTCACTTAGAAACGACAGTGCTACTGGTGCATGCAGATTGACTGCAAGGGGAAGTGACGCCCTCTGTTGACTGTCTCTGTCACTGCTTCCCAGGAGGTGATGGCTGACCTGGAGGAGAGCAAGTACCAGAATGTAGAGCTCAGGCTGTCGATCTACGGCCGCTCAAGAGATGAGTGGGACAAACTGGCCAAGTGGTCTGTCAAGCATCAGGTCTACTCCCACAACGTGCGCTGGCTTGTTCAAGTGCCACGACTCTTGTGAGTAAAACCAGTGGTAAAAAGTAACTAAAACCCATAATTGACTGCTGCCCTCATGAGTTCATAAAACAGAAAGTATACGCATAAATATGATATGCAATATTTTGATATAACTGTACAGTAGAATATGAAGAAGGTACAATTAGCTTCTCTACGACATTGAAATTCTCCATGTTAATGCAGTAATGATTCATGATATAAGAAAACACTTTTGTAAAAATAGTTTTAAGTTCACAAAGACATGATTCTGAATCTGAGAGGGGACATTCGTCATAATGAAATATTTTAAAATATTTAATAATGCTTGTTTACTTTTGCTCGAGTAAAAGTTTAATGTGTAGAAAGTAAAGAAATATGCATAGTATATTTATTTGCATCAATATCTCTGCTTTTATTTAATTAAAAGATGTGATTACTTCTTACATCTCTGAGTGACACTGATTGAGTTTTACAGTCAACATCAGTCACTAACATAATGTGAAGATCGGTGCCACTATGTCCAAAAGTATTCCACAACTGATATCTTGGTTTTTTCTGTCTTCGAAGTGACGTCTACCACACAAAGAGACAACTGTGCAACTTCCAAGAGATGTTGGAGAACATCTTCATGCCTCTGTTTGAGGTCACAGTCAACCCTGGCAGCCACCCAGAGCTGCACCTCTTCCTTCAACATGTACAAAGTCTTTCCTGTATATTCAACCTTTCAGATTTATACTTGTCAATCTTCAGAAAGTTTCATGGAGGTGTTCTTGGTCCGTCACACAGGTGGTGGGTTTCGACAGTGTGGACGATGAGTCCAAACCAGAGCAACACATCTTCAACCTGGACAGTCCGCTGCCAGTCAACTGGACAGAGGAGGACAACCCGCCCTATTCCTACTACCTCTACTATATGTATACAAACATGACTGTGCTGAACCACCTGCGCAGGTATGTCATCACACCTCACTTCACCTGGCTGCTATAATCTGCTTTTTAGAAATGCCAACAATTTGTTAATTGGTAACTGTGTGTCCTTTCTTTCCAGGCAGCGGGGGTTCCACACATTTGTCCTACGTCCTCACTGTGGCGAAGCTGGGCCAATCCATCACCTGGTGTCTGGGTTCATGCTGTCAGAGAACATCTCCCACGGGCTGCTGCTCAGGAAGGTGGGACTTCAACATTACAACATCTGCTACATGTCACACACTCACAGATGAGTTCGTTCTTCCAACAGTTTGTGAACAATTGATTAAAACAATTACTGAGCTGCATTTCGGTCATAATGATGCTTCCTTAAATGCTAACATGTCCTTGTGGTGTATTATCTGCTTACACACAATACATACAACATTATGTACCTCCTCCAGGCTCCTGTGCTGCAGTACTTGTACTACCTGGCTCAGATAGGCATCGCCATGTCCCCTCTGAGCAATAACAGCCTGTTCCTCAGCTACCATCGCAACCCTCTGCCTGAGTACTTGTCCAGAGGCCTCATGGTCTCTCTGTCCACAGACGACCCTCTGCAGTTTCACTTCACCAAGGTCAGTGTACGCAGACAGGCTACAGGGTTGGTAAAGCAAGCAATTCCCAGGGGCCCCGAGTTTAGTGGGGACCCCCCCGAGAACAGCTGATCCACATTATTTTGTGTGAATCCCCGTATTGTCTATGATCAGCGATGTACAGGAGACTGCAACAACACCACTGTTGGAAAACCACTAATGAGGCCCCGTGCCAAAAAGCGTTGTAATTTTAGAGGTTTGATCGTGAAAGTTGAGAGTGTTGTTTTAAATTGTTGTCGTCTTTAATAAAACCTAAATCAAGAGTCTCACTGTCTTAGAACCAGAAACTCGAAACTTTTTTTAAAACAATGGATCAGAGCACTAAATGTCAGCTTGTATTCGGTTCTCAAACTTCACACAACCACGGCAAACTATAAGCTGTTTTCAAAGCGCTACGTCTCCTGATTCTTTCTGTGCTGAGCCTTTCAGTTTAGCGTATCACTGCAATAGCTGTTGACACAGATCTTTTTCCACACAAAAGCTGCTTATGTAAGGCTTACCTTATGTAAGGCATACCAGCCTTATGTTTCCCTTTCATGCCAGGAAACAAGCAAAGGCAAGTCAAACAAAAACTAAATTCATAAATATCATGATAATGCCTGTGACTTCAGTTCAGTATCTCTCATACTTGTGTTTAGTTAATTATGTTTAGTTTAGTTGTATTTATCACAACTGCTGTTTCAACACGTGACAGATCTTATGGATCCACCGTGGCAATGAGGCTTCTTTTAAAAATGTCCCTTCTGATAAAGGTTCACCTTCTAAACTTATTTATTTTTTGTGTGTCTGTGTAGGAGCCCTTGATGGAGGAGTACAGTATTGCTACTCAGGTGTGGAAGCTCAGCTCTTGTGATATGTGTGAACTGGCCAGAAACAGTGTTCTGATGAGCGGATTCACTCATAAGGTATCAACTGTCCTCACAGCATCATTGTCTACAGGTATGCCTCCCCCTCCTCAGAAAGTCTAATTTAACTCTGACTCTTCCTCTGAATCAGGTGAAGAGCTCCTGGCTTGGCCCCCACTACATCATGGAGGGACAGGAGAGTAACGACATCAGACGCACCAACGTTCCAGACATCCGCGTGGCGTACCGTTACGAGACCATGTGTGAGGAGCTGAATTTAATCACACAGGCCATCCGCACAGACGAGCTGGAGACCATCGAGGAGGAGGGCAGTCTGTGCATGGGCGCCACGCAGGCAGAGAAATGAACGAGCGGCACAACCTTAACAAACTTACTCACTACATTCCCTGTTTCCACATGAGGACTTTGTACAGATTTCCATAAAAACATATCACATCTATGAAAAGAGAAGAGATTTCTAATAAGACTGTGAGAGTTGCTGCTGTAGCAATAAGAGAGAGGACCTACAATCTGTGGACCCAAGGTGTCCACTTCCTTTAGTCACTCTTTTGTTTATTTGTTGTGGTTAGTTCACAATGTCTCCTGATGTATTTATTTTGAGATTATTATATTTTCATGGTTTGTGGTCTCAATTCGTCAGAGGATGTGGACAAAGGCTGCATTTCCATTAGTAACCCCACAAATTACTCAGCCCATTAGAGCATTTCATACACTGGATTCAACACTGACTGATGATGATCAATTTTTCAAAGTAAGAGTCTCCTCAGTTCACAGGGCTGTGGCTGACACTGAAACGCTGAGGTTATTTTTGTGAGATCTTTACCAGCAAATCCTCATATAATTCTACAGTTAAAAATCAAATATTTAAACCCTTCAATATGTTTACATACTAGTCCATGACAAATGTAATTTAAATAACTATATCCTGGTACTAGTTGTACAGGAAAACTACATAACCACTCTCTTCTCTTGAGAGAACTTAAATAAAACGTACAAATATAAATGTCTGCGAGGTGAATAAATAAGATGTGAACAATACAAATAATAAAATATTGTTTGGAGTTGAGTTGAGCGAAAGGCAAGGCTTCACCTGGTAACCTCAGTGTTTCTACAGTCCTGGCCATAGCCCTGTCTACCTATCAGCCTTTGCAAAATTCTGTTTAATATGTGATGCAAAAACTTTTAAATAATCATTCACATAACAACACCTCATTCTCTATCACTGAGAGAAAGCTCCATGTCTTCAGTACCCCAGCTATACTGTCGTATTAACAACATATTTCCTACAGCTGCTCCTTGTGATATCCATGCTATCTTTTTTTGCAGACCACAGTGGATTGCATGAAAGCACATCAGTATTTGTGTCTGGTGTCCAGTGTGGCTACTCCTTTGCAGCATCTGATCATGTTTTCATGTCTCAACTAAACTGCACCTCTCAACTGAGACCATCTGTCTTTTACACACAAGTCGTAAAATAGAAACATCTCTGAGTCATAGTCCAGTGAACGAGGCATCATCTCAACTTTTGTCAAATACATAAATAAACTAATTTCCAGAGAACTGAGAGTGGGCTAACTTACTACAGACACTGAGTGTATCAAGTTGGAGCAGATAAATGTTTAATAAACAATTACTTTTTAGAAAAATAATGTAATGTAGAAAAGACAGAAGACATTGCAGCAGATGTGTGCGACCACTGATCTGATTGCAACAGAGGATGACAAGGATGAGTAGTGTGCTTGATGAGACAAGTGGACCATTCCAATCAATTGTTGTGTTAAAGGCGTCCCTGCAACATGTTACATTTCTAGAGAAGTGCTTGTAGGGAGCATTTTACCCCAAAATGTAGTATACATGAGTATCTATGGCATCAATTCAATGCAGGAGTATAAATTTAGGATTATGTCTGTGTAGCTGTATAAAGATTCGTCCACAAACAATCTCCATAGAGGTTTTATGAGGAGCTTGGTTCTTTAATTTTAGAGATAGAATCAGTGGCAGAGAATAACAAATGGCAAAAGGATGGAGCTTCCTTGAATAGAGCGAGAAAGCAGAGTGATATTTCGTTTAGTTTCTTCATTAGTTCTCTTTGTGTCACCATTATAGAGAAACTGCAGCCTGGGAAGCATCAGTTGTTTTTGCTACTGCAAAGATACCGTAAACTATTCTAGACTCATCGATCATCTATCCATATCATCCTTAAGGTTTTATCTTAAGCCTCATGCACTTATTAATACTTGTCCTTTATGCTTGTGCAACACTCATGCATGAAAAATACATGCGTCACCCACAGAGAATTGTATGTGCTGTCTGTGAAATATAATTTATTGACATTTGTGTCCATGAAGAATAAATGTTGGAATTGTTGCCTCCCTTTCGTTAGTGAGTGAGTGAGTGATTGTAATTAGAAAGACTGTTTAATTAATACGTGGAAAATGAAAAAAAATTATATAATCTCTTGTAAAAAGAAAACTAAGTTTGTACCAACATGAAAGTAAGTAGAGACTTTAATTAGGCTTAAAGCCCTTTTGGAAACAGATTTTTCAAATCCATCATGATCTGTCAAAAATAAATTACAGCTTAAGAAACATTAATAAAAAACATTTTTCATGGAACCTTAATGTTAATATACAGTTTATTTCATCATCTGGAAAATTGCAGATGAGTAAAAGTACATTGTGAGCAAAAGAAATAACTAATTAATTAATGATTAATTGTAGCGTGTCATACATGTTACAACACATACATGAAAATGTAATTCACTAAAATTACTTTTATTCAAATGACAGATATCAGGATTTGATGCAGTGCCATTCATGATAAAAAAAGCCATCCAGACAATTTATGACATGAAACGATACATTTTGCTGATTTTCTTTGTTGATCTGCAGACGAAGTTTCATGAGAAAAGAAAATGAAGGAGCAATGTGGTGGGACGTTAGTAGCGGCCGTTATATAGTCCTGGCGGTTCACTGGCGAGCTGTCAGAAACAGAACGGAACATGACTGATGTGCTGCAGACGGATGTGTGTGAGTGGTCGTATCATATGACACAAAACCTACCGCTATGGCTGACTTAATGGCCTGAAGCTGGAAGAAGACCCTGCCTCCCTCCTCTGGACAAACAGTCCTTATCTCATCCTTGGTCATCCCCAGCAGCAGTTTACCGGTGAGCACACCGAGGGAGGTCACGGTGCTGTTCATGTAAAAGTGATAAAACACAGAATATCAATCATTAATGTTGAGGAATTTTTGTATATCCTCACACATTACTGTATATGTCACTATATACCATAATATGTATATAACATTATATCTGTACACCATTAAGAGAAGAGTGCCTGGCTAATTCCACAGATACTCCCTTCTCTCTCTAAGCAGTACACAAGGTCAGGTTAGAGATAAAGGACCAACCAACAGTACATTGTAGTGCTAACGCGTAGAGACTTTCATATCTAATCCAGATGCTCCAGACAGAGAGGCACCAACTTCAACTCACACCAACTTCAACTCTTCTGCACATTACACCAGTATCTAATAGGATGCAAACACGTACATGTTGCATAGTTAGAATGGGTGACACAAGCAGAGGAAGATATATGGGGATGCTGTGGGCGACATCTTCAGACTCGGGGGTGACAGTTGCTCATGTTACTCTGTTGGCGTTTGTATATTGTTGCATCTTCTGGTCTCCTTGGTGCATCAAGTCTACATTAAAATCTTCTGCTTAAGACATCAGCTGCTGCCAGAGTTCTCCTTTCACCAGCTCCCAGAAAACTTCCATAACAATGATCATCCCCTACAACAAGCCTCACTTACAGTTCAGACATCTTTAAACTGACGGTAAGATCAGGTCACTCACATTTTGGAGAAGCCTTTGTACTGAAGCCAGGCTCTAACCTCTGCAGGCGACGAGGTCATCTCCAGAATCACTGGGCCATGAGTCTCCTGCTGTGTGTGTGTGTGAGAAGGAAAGAAAATATTATTTCTCAAATATGTTTCATAGGTTTCCAAACAGTTCTGACTGTAGCTTAGCTCACCAGTACATCTTCCCTGGAGCTCCTCATTGGCTCCAAAACATTCATCGGAACGTTTCCTTGCTCATTACGGGCGTTACGAACAAGCCACCATTGCTTGGTTCTCTGAATCACCTGTTTAAAAAAAAACAAAGAACCCAAACACCTGATGTACCAGAACAATAACACCAACAGTGACAGCAGATGATCGTGACAGGGATAAATAAAAGAACTGAATAGTGTCATGTTAATAGAAACCAGACTCTACTCAGAATAGTATATTTTATTAGAACAGTATGTGAGTAGTAGAAATTTTTAAACCATCCTATGAGAGACTTTGTCTCAAAATCTAAATCCAGCTCCAGTCCTGCTAATTGGATTATATTTTCCTGATGAAACACAATAGTTTGATCGACAAATTGTTTCCTTTTTCCAATGATCGCGATGATATGAGAAAGTCACTGCACCATTATTTTCATCTCACCTGAACCACATCACCCTTCATGATACTCAGCTCTCGGTTGTTTCTGGCCGTGAAGTTGTAAATGGCTCGCATGGACTGAGATGACTCACTGAAGCTGAAACAGCAGCAGGCAGATGACCACAATTAACCTCACTGAGTACCCACTGAGGAAATGTTCACAAACAACCATACAGCCATATTTACTTTGGAGAAACTGGTCGGTCGGGTGGGATACGCTGGCTGTAGCTCCTGCTCATTTGACCTTTGTGAGAAAGGAATGGGGGGGGTATGCGTGACGGGGCAAGCGGCTGCCAGCCATCATAAAACTCTGGGATGTAAGGTGGGATATCATTATTCGGCCATCTGGACCTGCGAGGAGACAGGAGGTCAGGAAACCGTCAGCTAAAGCTCTAAAGCTGAGCTTATGTAAACACTCAACACTCAATCAAAATGACTTCATGTTGTACTTTCTGTCTTTTCATCTGTACGGTTTGATCTGTTAATGATGAACTTGGTATAAAAAAAAGCTGAACCACAAGCAGATAAAGTTGTGTGTTGTAAGGTGTTAGGAGTGGGACTTCAGTCTTTGTAATGTAGAATGTGAAATTAAAGGAGAGTCTTAAAATAAGTATGTCCACAGTTTTGCACCTTTGGCTTTTCCCCATTTATCTGTTATGTTTTTTTACTGTGAATCAAATGTTTTACTGTCATTCATCTTGTATCAGGTCAGACTGAAAGTTATTCACAAGGATTTTGTGATGTCTCAATAGAGTAAATTTATTGGAAATGTTTTTCCATGACCAGAGCTGTTCTAAAAGTGTGCGTTCTCTGTTGCACTCTATTACAAATGGTGAAATGATCCACCAGTTTATGGATTTAGTGTCTGACACACCGAGGGAGGAATCGTTAAGTCCGATGACCACAGGCAGGTCTAGTATGTTTCATATTTGACAGAGTGAAATCATAGTTGTATCAGTCTGACTCTCAGTCGAAGCATTTCTTAAAAATGTCTACATGTTACCTGAATGTCATATTAATGGTTAATAATTTATATATAACTTTTGAGTTACCTGGTAGTGAAAAAAGATATATATTTAGTCTTTCTATAATGAAGTTATAAATGTTTGTTGTAAATTGGTTAATATTAATTAATATTGTCATTAACTTAGTAAGAAGTGTTAATAATAAAGATTTTCAGCAGCTCTTCTCCACCAGTTAGATGGTAAAACAGTCCCTTGGTGAAGTCTATAGATATAAAAACACACAAAGCATGTGTCCTGCTGCAGGAGCATTAACCCACAGATGCTTATAACTGATCAACAAAGTATTACACAATTAATGATTGAACAATTTCATTAACATATTCATTGAGTTATTTTTGCCAATTGCTCAACTTTGAGATCATGAATGCAGCATTAACTCCGACCCACATTTACATATCAGCAAACACAATCTCAAGGGTCAAGGCGTGCCAGGGCAGGTTTATGTGCTCAGTCACCAGAGGGCTGTGTACGGGAAAGTAACAAGCTGTATAATAAAAAGGCTTATGCAAGTGTGAAGGCCCACCTACCTGGAGATGTTCCAGGAATCTCCCAGAGAAGTCCATAGGCTTCGCTCCTCCGGGCTGACTTCGTGACTGAGCAGCCGCAGGGCCTCCTCTGTCAGCAGGGGCGAGACCACGCTGGGCGGCAGGTCTGCAGGGTACTTCTGCGCGATCTGTGGAGAAACAGAGCAGGTGTTTACTGTCACAACTGAGAGGTGGACATGTGGTGAAGACAAATATGAACACACTTCAGGATGAAAGAGCTCACCAGGCCCAAACTCCTGAAGAAGATGTGGACATAGTCAGAAGCATTGGGGTTTGTCAGTACCCCATCCAGCTGACCCTGTCATATAAGAGAGAGTCTTTCAGTCAACACTTCAGGGAATGTATGCAGGGCAAAGCACTGTGGGCAACATGTAATCTGCAGATGTGAAGACCAGAGGGAGAGTTTACCAGCAGATTGAATCCATATTTGATTTTCTGGAGACAGGAGAAATATTCCTTCCAGGGCGGCAGATTGCCAGATGATTCTGCAGGAGATATACATTTATGATAAATACAACTCTGTATTTGCACACAGTCTGTTGTTCTTGCCTGTGGGAGGTTTCTCTCCACCAATCACTTCCTGAGAGATTGTAAAAAAAAATATTACCAGTTTTCTTAGATTTTTTCTTTTTCAACAAATTTTTCTTGCTCTTGTCCTTTTGCAGTGAAGGTGACTTTACTGCAGCAGTAACTTTGTCCAGGAAAATCTCCAAATCACCAAGAACATGGTTAAAAATCTGCTGTTGAAAAGGGATGAAGGCAAGAAATATAACAAGTTCAGCATTTTTAGGATCTTTAAAGACAACCACATATGAGCATGTTTTCCTTCAGATGAATATTTGATATTGGTCGGATTAAATGACTTTGTAACTGATTAAATCTACTTCTTAAGATTATCGAAGCGGTTATGGCAGCACTGACCGTGGTGATCTCTGTGTCTCTTTGCTCAGATGAATCCTCTGGGCTACTCTGTAATTCGGGAAGATCAGGATGAGGCAGCACTTCTTCAGCGAAGTCCCACGGGGGAGGCATACTCTCTAAGTAGAAATAAAGAAAAAAGTAAATATTGATATGGCCGCACCTAAGGAGAGTGTGGACAGTGGCCGTACTGTGAGTTGGTTTCCTGATGTGATCTTGTACAGAACACATTCATACATTTTTCTGAGGAAATTTAAAGAAGAAATCACAAATGATTGAATTTAATTGAGCACAGCTTCAGTTCATTTAGGTCACAAAGACTCAGCCACAATCCGGTCCATAGATCTATACCGTCCCACATCAGCTGATCGCTCAGCTGATCCACTTCCATGCATTTAATTGGCAAAATCTCATATTGCATTCTCTATTTGAGCTGTTTTAGCTGCTTACTCCTCCAACCAACCTCTGCACCAGCACCTCCTTTTCAAACCAACCAAACCAGTGTGATGTGCTGTCATTGATGCTGGTGCTCTCCCTACCTCCCTTTACACTAATAACAATAAAAATATCTTTATTTATGTAGCACTTCTCAGTACAAAGTTAGTGCTTCACAAATATAAGACACACAAGTCAAAATGAACATTAAAACAAATAAAGACACAGTCATAAAAGAATAAATGAAAGAATAAGCAAGACCACGCATCACAATAACAAATATTAATCATGGGATGCAATATGCAATATGATAAAAGATTATGAAAATTTTGATTAACAGGAAACTGCTGACTCAGCCTGCTGGATTTCCTGTTCCTGAAAATGAAGGGTCATGGAGGGGTAGGGAGGAGTGCTCTCCCTACTTTAGGCTTTCCATGTATGCTTGTTGAAGTGCATTGTGGTCCCGCTACTACACCAAATATAACTTATTGCAATTCATTTTCACTGAAATTTGGTTTCTCTCTGTTTCAGTGATTTTCTACAATTTACCTGGTTCTCTGTTACGCCACTGTGTCAGCGGTTGTTCCAGAGGTGGCAGGGGGGTGACTTGGCTTCGTCGCTGCTGAAAACTTCCAGGACTGTTTTGCCGCATGATATTTTCGAGATTACTTCTGAAAACATCAACAGCGATTAATGAATGTGGCTGTTTTCATTTCTACATTTAGAATCTGTGTTTGGACTTTATTCATGTGATGTGACAGTGTACCTGATGTCAGATTGGTCTCTGCGCGGTTCCACATCATCACCTCTCCTCTGAACTGCATTATCCAGATCGACCTTGAGTAGATCCGCCTGGTAAAACAGACTTGATTTAGATTACACGCCTACATGACTTCAACATAGAAACAGCATCCATGTTATCAAATACTGATAATGGTTCCATAGCCTGACTGTTTATTGTTTCAGAGATTGTGCAACAGGATTAACACACCCGCCCTTCTCTGGAGAGGCCAAAGTTGACTCACCGAGATCTCGTCACACTGGAACATGAAGACCTGTGGGGTGCGTTTGCTGTGATCCTGCACAGTTATTGTCAGCAGAGAGTTGTAGGCACAGCTGTCCAGTATAGCCCTGGTTTGTGTGATGCTACTCAAAGGCAGCACCTCCAGCTCTGTCTGTAAAATCAGAGTGATTGAAATAAGATTGACACCAAATGTTGATGAAAATGGAAGATGAGAAAACATAAAATGATGAATGTAGAAAGCATCAAAATAGAGAAAAAAAGAGGAGCAAATTATTGAATCCATCCTGTAGCAAAAACTAAAAATCAATGCAGACGAAATAATTAAAACACTTTCATCAGGAGGTACAAATATTTCTGCACATGAGATGGCGGATTTTCAAAATGTCATAATATTTACCTTCAACCAAACACACACAATAAAGTAAAAAATATTTTGTTACTGTACTTAAATACTTTTTTTAGGTACTTTACCTCAGTAATAATTTTTCTGATTGAATAATCCTTTTTTTTTTTTTTAAATCATTGAGCGCTGCCTTCCCAATATCAAGACTGATTGTAACACAAATGGACAACAACACAGAAAAGACATTTCCTTGCTGTATATATATTGGTGCATATCATGCAAAAGAAAAATAACTCAAGACTGTGATGGATGTATCAAGATTAAACAGACAGGAGAGGGAGACTCAACTACGGAGACACAACGCATTTGACCATGACAAAGAGTAACAACATGGAAGAAAGTGAAGAGTCAGCCAACATCACTGATACACACAACAAAGCAGGGCAACAAAACACAAAACACTGACCTTATTTAAATAAAGATTAACTGGGTTATGATTATTTCCTCTTCAAAAAATGTTCATGCTCAAAAATATTATCTTGCTTAAACCATATTTGTAATATATTGTTTTTTTATGGTGGTTTCATTTAAACAGTCATTGAGCTATATTAATGTGACATAAGTCTCAGTTTGCAGAGATACAGTTGGTAGAAATACATGTAGGTACTTTTTACGTTCATATTGAGTACATTTTAGAGCCTGTACTCTAAAACTCTAACTTTCTGAACACAGAAATCTTAAAGAGGGGCTAACAGCAATGTTAAGATTATGATAAAAAAAAAGACATGGTTGAATTGATTTAAAGAAAGACAATAAAAATAAGTTTTGAGTATTTTTTTTAAATAAGATGCCCAACAACAGTGTAACTTCACAAATGCTTTCATCAACTGGACGGGAACACAGTCAGGCTGTACAGATGTCATATACTTTTGGTCATGTTGGGTACCTCAGACTCTTACTCTCAAATCTTGAAAGGCTTCTAAGAATCACCACCACCAACCTTGGTCTCGATGTCACTGAGCATTACGTATCCTCCATGAACCTCCAGGATCATCTCCTGGCCCCACAGACGACCTTTGGTATCCAGCCACTTCAGCTTGGACAAGCAGTCCTCCAATGTATTCATCTCCTTGCCGTCCAGCTCACAGGTGAGCAGATGCTGTGGAGTCAGTGTTCAGGGTCATGAATGGGGGAGAGCTAAAGGTTGTGTTGTCACTTGTGTGTCTCCATGCTGATTTCTCCTTTACCTCCACTCTGACTTGGAAGTTGTCCTTTTTTCTGGTCAGCGTCTCAGAGTACTCTTTTCTCTGCACTGATGTAAAGAACAGTTTCATTTCTTAAAAATGCCATTTCTCCTCACTCAGGTTATAATTACAAAGACAAATGCATGAGTGGTGTTATATTTTTCATCTGAACATACTATATATGGATTTTGCACTGGGTCTGGTCATGGTGTTGCCCTGCAGCGGAGAACCCTTCGGGTCGTCTTGCTGGAAAGGTCGCCTCTGTTGAGGGAAGTCCTCTTGTAAAACCGCCCTGAAGAACAACAACAGGAAACTTATCAAACACCCGAGATGGGGCACATGGATCCAGTACAACGAAGCAAGTTCAACATACACAGTATATCTTCTTGTTATCTTAACTGAGCCTAACCTTGGTCATCCTGAATAATCTATATCATGAAAGTGGTTATCAACTGTTTCAGTTCACTCTGGGTTTCCCCACCTGTCTATGAGCGTGTACATAAGAAGCTGTGTTCACTGAAAATGAATGATGGACTGGACTCTCGTTTTTAAACCCAGAGAGGAAACATGGAAAGTCTGGCACAGTAAAGTGATTCTGTTCATCTGTAAAATTATGTTTTATGTGTGTGTGTGTGTGTGTGTGTGTGTGTGTGTGTGTGTACTTCTATCCTAGTGAGGGCCACTGAGACTATTAGACCTTATGGAGGACATTTTTTACAAAGCTATTTTGGGGGTTAAGATTTGGTTTTAGGGTCAGAGGTAGAATTAGGTTTAAGATAATGGTTGAAGGTGAGTTGTGATGGTTAAGGTAATCTCTACATACACATTATGCATAGGAATATGCATTACGCAAGGGACAAGACTGTGGGGCTGGATCCCTCCTGATATCAGTCTGGACTAATGTAAAAAACATGGCGGCCTCCGTAGAGAGGACCCCTCGATGTAAATATAAAGTATTTAAATATAAAGGGCTTTTTCAAGGGTAAAGCAAACTGCAATTCATACAATTAAGATGAAATGAACTAGTGAAAACATCATGAAGATTAAACTACATTACATTTCTGCCAATAGTTTCCTTTCACCTAAATCTTGCACACTGGACCTTTAAGTCTCTGCAAGTAAACAGTCCATGTGGAAAGCAAAAGAGTATTTTTAATCTATCTAGCTACCATCAGCAATCTGAAGTTGAATCATCCAGTCTCAAATAGCTGCACAGTAGTGTTTTATCTCAACAGGGTGTGATAAGACATTCCGGGTGTTGTAAAGATCTAAACGTTGCGTTCATGGTGGATCAATTAGACCAGCGACAGTGACACTGGAAGGTTGATTCATTTTACTGACCTTGGGGAGTAGGAGAAGGGGCCGTTGTTTCCATACATTGTCAAACAGCTTCTGTCTCTTTTAAAGGAATATAATCTTCAGATTGCTCAGAATCTCTTGGAAGCCACACCAACCTGCACAAAAAAGTTTCTCAACCTGATAAAAAGGAAACATATGAGCAGATTGGTTTCATTTTAACACAGGACAGATGGTTGGTAAATCCACTAAGTTCATGTTTAGAAGTTCAGACTCTGACAGCTCAATTAAAGGAATTTACAAGTTAAAACTTTCTTTAACAACACTTAGATTTTACTGCTACAGTCTTGATTGGTCTGAAATAGCCTGAGGATTTACTAATGTTAACAAACTTCAGCTAGATGATATTAAACTGACTTAGTTTTCTACGTGCTCATCTGTACCTCACAATTTGGGATTTTACTTCAGTGCTGCATTTAAAAACCGCCCCACACCTTCTATATTAAAAAGCTGTCAACCGTGACTCGCTTCACATGAGCAAACACTTCTAAACAAGACGCAGAATCCACCACCCGTTTAATTTAACTTTTTAAGCTATAACCTCTAACATTTAAATTATTTCATAATCCAGTAATTACCTGTCCGCATCAGCTCTGCTCCAGTGTCATTGTTCCTTTCCTTCAAACAGATGCTCTACCGACACGGTTCCTAGCAGATTATTCCTCAAACAGCAAACTGAGAAAACATGGACTTCCTGCTTGAAGGCACAAGGTTCAAAGTGCAAAAATTCAGGAGTGACGGATCCAGAGGGCTGGTCTGATTTGTCATTTGTGGATAAATCGTTGAGGTATTGGAGGGAGGCGACAAATCTGTAGCTCATTATGAGTCCAAAGGTTTAAAAACACTTCTTCACTGTCTTCTTCAGTGATCAAAGGTCCAGAAACCTAACAGGAGTGTAATCTACGGTGCCTATAAAATGTTAATGCTATGCATTCAACACACCTAACGTCACTGGGAAATTATGTAAGCAAAGGTTTACCAATTGTTCAAAGATAAGAAAAATAAGCTGAAGTGGAAAAATACAAACTGACCAGTTGAAGTTGAATAAGAGAACCATTTATTTTACCATCAGCTGACGTGTAAATACTGTACACACCCACACTATTGACAGAGACAATCTTATGAGAAATAAGTTTATTCTGTAAAGAAAAGTGAACGTCTCGTCTTGGGACAATGACTTGGGGATTAGAGAAGCCTTCGCTGAAGACTTGATAGTTTAGGCTGTAGCTTTGGCCTGAGTGACCTTGGCCAGAGCCTTCAGGTCTGTGATGCATTTGGCGATGCTCTCTTTCTCCTGAAAAACAACAAAAACACAGATGTGAGGTTCTGTGTTGTCACCTGAGGACGTATGTACAAGACAGTAAGAATAACAGGGGTTTAATGGTCAGTTAGAAAATCTGATTTATTTTTTAAATAATCAAAATAGATTTTATTAGAAGTATTATTACCATTATTCTGTTCCTGATTCTGATACCTGGACTTTGCAAAATGGTCAATACTGAGTACCGATCTGATACGAACAATATCAACACATGAACATGTTTCAACAGCTGTATGGTATTAATCCTGTTTGGAAGTGAAGATTACCATCACTGTGGTTTGGCCTATAGCTAAACTCACTCTGGCTAATGTAACAGTACCAGAGAACACTTCACTGTCCTAGAAACAATACTTGCCAGTGGCAGGAGAGGGCAACTGCTGTTTTGGAGCAGGGAAGAAGTGATTTAAAGAAAACTGGGTGAAACATATATACTTCAAACACATGGTTTCAGGTTGGTAGATAGATTTACGTACTAACTGATTCCCAACTTTTTAAAAAACATTTAGTGAGAAAAATAAACTATGCCATAAACCAATCAATTAAGATTGTACGTTTTTTGTACTATGGCTGGTACAAGTATCACTAACAAACACTTCAATACAATACTATTGAAAAAACTATTCCAAGAGTGCTTCATCTCATTGGTACATCACCACTCATCTGTATTTCACAAGGTCCAGCTATATTATCTGGCATTATTGACCACTGGCTAAGGATGTGGTGCCATTCCAAGCTGTGTACAATGTGGGTTTGAGACACTGATGTACAATGTAGATGTGCAGTATGATCTGCCAGTGTCTTTATTGCAATACTGTGTTTTTTATGGTGTAAATACAATACAATAATGACAATTATTTGAGTTTGTATATACTCGACAGTCCATTTCAAAACAGGGAACTATGTTTATTAAAAAGGACAAGTTTTTTTGAGAAGATCGCCTCCTACTAGACTGACCTGCTGGGGAGTGATGCTGCCGATAACGCTCTTCTCCACCCAGTTGACCATGTGCTCCTGCTCCATACGACGGTGGAGGACCTGCAGGGCGATCTGGTAGTCCAACCGCCTCTTCACCTCACCGGTCACCATGTGTAGCCTCTCTCTGTAGTTGGTCTCAAGAAGCATGGCCACATTGTTCTGGATGGGAAAGAAGAGTCGATTAAGCCTTTACAGAAATATAAGGACTCTAAACATGGGTTGCTGCAATATTTCGACCAGGTTTAATGCCCTCTTTACATGCTGTTAATATCTTGTTGCAATGTAAGTAACATAAAGAGCAGATTCAAATCTATTATCAAATCTGTCCGTTTTTGGGTGAACTATCTTTGTAACATTTTTCTTTGGCCACTTGGTGGCAGTGTTGAAACTGCCACTCATAGATCAAAGATTACATAATGATGCCCCTTCAACACATACAGCTCAGAGTAGAAGGTTTCAGGGCAATTACCTGTTGTTGATGGGGTTTGTCTCATGTAAATACAAAGCTGTTTATTATGAATGGTTAAGATAGAAATGGAAAATAAAAATGCAAAGATCAGTGCCGCTCACCCTCTTAGCATCAAAGAGCATTGATCTTCCCTCTGCTCTCCACTGTTCCTTCTTCTCATCCTCAATGGCCTGAGTCAGGCTGGACATAGCAAGGTCCTTCACCTCCTGAGCCTTCATCACTTTGTCCTAAAAAAAGAAAACACACACAATTGGGATTACAATGGTGCTCGCAAAGGATGAGCACTAAAGAGTAGATCGATGATATTTGGAAAACTGTATCTTGATTATAGTTACATTTGTTAAACAAACTCACAATTCAAAGAAAATAGGGATAAGAATTAGATAAGAACACACACTTTGTGAAATCTTTTTTCTAGCATCCTATAAATAAATTAATTAAAAAGCTAAAACCGCAAATGGCTGCCGGCCTACCTCATTAAGTTTGTCAGCAAAAGCTGCAACACTTGGACCAAATTTTTTGACACCATAAATGATGACAGCCCCTATGGAGGCGGCAGCGAAGGTCTCATGGTTGATGACGTAGATTTCCTTGGAAAGGATGTAGAGGAGGAGGCCAGTGCCCAGCATGTAGGGTCCTAGTGGCAAAGGTAGAAATGTTGATTTTGAATTTCTCCATAGACACAGATGATGTTACTGGTTCAGCTTGTTGTTGATGTAAATCCAAACACATCATGAGATAAAATTCAACGTTAAATTATACAGATTATTAATTAAATTATACAATGTAGTGTCATAAGCATTGCACTCAACAAAATATGTTTGGTGCTTTTGACTGATGTCTCATGATTTTTTTTTTTTTATTACACACAGGGCTGGGCGATACTGAAAAAAATCGTATCAAGATAATATTTAGATATCGGTAAGTATCGCGATATAAATCAAACTGAGGCGCATTACTTCGCACAGGTCAACAAGAGACTCTACTCCTGATGTTTCCTAATCATTCTCACATGGAACTGGTCTTTATAAAAATTTGCTGAATGCGTATTTATTATACTGGATTAAGGTGGCATCGCTTCTTCAGCAACAATTAAGTTAAAACACTGCATTGAGTCATAATCTGTGGGAAGAACTTGTCTGTAGGAATGCAGGAGTGTGTGCGTGTGTGTATGTTCGTCTCTGTCGCTCTTCACACAAGAACTGATAATCACATGTATCTAGTTACTGTATTTATCAATGATGTCAGATCATGAGTCCGGATCATTCCCGTCACTTTAACCCTGACGTCCTGACTGTGTAGCAGCTTTAAACGTGTGTCTACAGCGAATCAAACAAACACACAGTAAACGTCAGTCCTGTACGTGTCCTAATAACTTGTGATCAGTGATGGTGTTTATTGTTTAAGTGTAAAGAGAGCACAGGTCAGAGGGGGAGTGACAAGGTAACAAACTCAGACAGAGACTCTGACAAAGGACCTAAAAGTCAGCTATGTAAACCTTTTGCTGTGGCATGTCAAGATAATGTAGAAGTTTTAATCAAAGCTGTTTTCAACGCTTTACCCTAGATTGAAGACTACAGACCTGTGACTCCAGTTTTGGGGTACAGGAGCTGAAAGAGCTCTTCTGGGATGATGCCATGGCGGACTTTGCCTCCCTTCTCTGGCAGAGGAGGCACCGGAGCCAGACTCTGGGATGATGTGTGCAGGGAGCGAGACGCTTGGATCAGGCTGTGGTGGAAAACACTGTTAGCTTTCACATAAACATGCCTCATTGCATTTGCACACATTATTATACATAATGCTGATCAAATGTATCATTGTGTCCAAGACGTACCCAGCTCCAAGGAGTCCACTGCTTTTCAGGGAACTGGCTGCAAACAGAATGACAGAATAGAATAAATGATATATATTGTGGCAACTACAGTTTTCCTTTTATCTGCTGAGATTATTTTCATGATTGACAAACAGAATTCATACTATTAAATATATCTGTAATATATATGTAAAATACATCAAAAGTAAAGGTCATCTTCAACTCTCAGCTATATTTACACTCATTTTTAATTTGTTTGTATATATACACTAACGTATTTAATATTGATTCATATACTGCACAATAATTAAGCTCTGCTGATTTATCTTTATACTTCTCATTCTATTTTAACCTTATTTTGGTCAAATGTCTTTACTGTTTTATGTCACTCACTTGATCTTCAACAGAAGTTTTCAGGATTAATCAACGTGTCCCCAAAACAATTTAAAGCAAAGCTGAACATCATGATAGTTAGAAAGACTCATTCTAAATTACATACGTTTAACTGTGCACCTCACTACTTGGGATTGGGTAAATATTACTGCTGGAAATAGTTAAATCATGAAGCCATTGCAATACAATACATTCATATTGAATAGAAACACATTGCCTTGTGAAGCCATGGTGGATTATTTCCATTGTAGAAACAAAGTGCAGACAAACCCTGGCTGTCAATGAGGTGACATTAGTAGGCGTGCAGAGCTAACGTTAGCTAACTTAGCTTCTGTGTACTGTCGTTATTTGCTGTTAGCTCATTTAACTTTGACTGAGCTCTCGTGCTGTCTGCTGGGAATACAGAGAAGGTCGCACAGTGTTGTAGATGAAAAAACTGCTACAGTTTGAATTGTTACCTACAGTTAGCATTAGCATGTCTCTCATTCAACGTGCGGCCTTCACTTTACCCTTCACGCTCACTTTAAACCTTCACTTCTCCCGCTCCACTGTTCGGTGACATGGACGCTGAAGGGTTTCTCTTAATATCCCAGCGGCTGGGTGAGAACGTACCTGAAACCAGGACGAGTCTGGACAACATGTTTGAAGGACGAAAGTGCAGAGTTCTTCCTCCACCGACCAGCGTCTCAGTGTCCTTCTGCAAAGAGCCGCAGCGATGGCGGACACGCGAGAAATCCTCGTGAAGTATCGCGAGAGTGGCGTTTAGCGGCCGTGAAGCGACGCGACCAGGAGGGGGCGCTGCTCGCTCAGCTGAGTTTAGATCATCAGTGGTAATGCAGGTCTAAGCAATCGAGATAGATAAGTAGATGGAAGGATGGATGGAAGGATGGACTTCCTCAGCTGTACTGCTCTTCTTATTTCTTTTTTACCATTAAAACATACTGTGTATATGTTTTTATATTTATACTGTTACATTTTAATACTTGATTTTCTTATCTTACATTTAGAGATGTCTGACATGCACCAACAACACCAAAACAAATTCCATGTATGTGTATTAAACTTACTTGGCAATAAAGCTTTTCTGATTCTGATGGATGGATGGAAGGATGGAAGGATGGATGGATGGATGGATGGATGGATGGATGGTAGGTTTGTAGGTAGGAAGATAGTTCAAGAAAAACAGTTTTAAAAAGTAACAAAGTAACCTCATTAGTCCTGAAGTAACCAATTCAAAGCAAGCTTAGCAGCCTAGCTTAGCAGAGCAGCCGTTGGCTCTGAGGAGAATTCACACAACATATTATGTTTGAATTATTTTAAAATCCTATATTTGCATTGAAAAGCTGAAATGGAAACAAAAAAACATTGGTTTTTGGTCTGTTTGTTCTGTGTTATTATTAATCTGCACCATGTAACAAGGTTTTACTGTTTACGTGTCCTCTAAACAGTTTGGCTTAGAGCCCTCAAACCTTAGGCCCTTCTCTCTTCAACTACTTCTCTAGTTATAATGTTGTATTTTTCTATTTCTCTACAGTTGTACAGTCTCCTGCCTTTGTATAACAGTAGTCATTTACGCCTTCATTAAATCGAAGTCATTAACACACTCCACTGAGGAATGACAGTGCTGTCATTATAATAAACATTCAGATATATCCAAGGTGCGGCAGTCACACAACACAACCCAGCTCTGTCTCCCAAGTGGTCGGTTTCATCCCAGACTGCACGCAGGGGGAATAGACTGGGTCTGCCTGTAATCTTGGGGCCCACCCGTGTGTGGCATCAGTTTGGTACGAGTGGCTGCTGAGATAGAGGAACATATGACGCTGTGGTTCTCTTCACTTCCTGTAAATTATGCTCAACAGAAGCAGCTACATGTGAAACGCGGGACTAAGCCTCCGGACATTATTTGAGAGGAGTGAGGAAATGAATAACTTCTCATCCATTGCATGAAGAGTTTGACACCACTGAATGGGATGGCATAGTAGGTAAGCTCTTGGTGCATTTCTGCTTATTTAGTAGTTGCGTGTTGTCTTTGTATTATCGTCCATGTTTTCTTTCCACAGCCTCAGTTAGCACTTACCAGGGCCTGGTCTGTCTTTGATATCATATTCTGCAGCATTCTAAAAGAAAATACACCAGCAATGCAACCACTGCATTTTCCACCAAACCCAAAACCTTCACTACTGCTATTATTAAAATAAAATAAAAAGTATTTCTGGACCTACTTCTGCAGCTGCTTCAACCAGCATGGGTCACAGAGAATTGCAGAGCTACACAAAACATAATTTACTTGATCTTTTACGTTATTTGATGCACACACCTCAAATAAATTTGGAGCAGAGCCTACTGCAGATGAGTAATGTTCTTTCCTTTGTTCAATAAAAGAGTCTTGAAGATTAAAATGACAGGATTGAGTTTGAGAAATGCCACCAATTGTTTTCTTTAAACTTGAATCTAAGTCAGAGAAACTTATTATTCACAATTCTTCAATAGTTTCTTCAGATACAGCACCTTCAACACTTTTCTCACACACACCTATAACAATAAACATAAGTTAGATCATCTTAGGATTACAGCTATATTCTTTACATTCTGTATATTTAACTAATTACAATTAGTCATAATGATTTTTCTCTTATATTTTCATGGAAGGCTCAAGGCAGAGGAGCTGCCATGGACGCCCTGGCTGCAGTACAGCTCTCCTCAGTGAAAGACTTTGACCGAATAGTGGAGGTCAGAGCAGAGAAGCACGAACACCTGCGAGGACGCAACAACGTGACTTCATGTCGCAGCCCCACGAGAGAGTTCAACACAAAAGTGATCAAAAATGAACTGAAAGACAAAAGGCAGCTGGAGTTTCTAAAGAGGAGATCAGTGAGCCCGGAGGTGTGTGGTCTGGAATCTACAAGAACGAAAAGTTCACCAAAGACGTTTTCAATTAAACATCATAGTTATAGAAGCAAATATCAAATGAATACAAATATCCCAACTATTTCTAACGGACATAATAAGGTGATTGTAGCGACAGACAGCAGCATATCTGATGGTCCAAGCACCAGCACATGGGTAAATATAAGATCCTCTGACATCATGTAGAGTTTTATATTATCAGAGGCGTGTTCTGCTCCACAGATTATAACACCTGCATCTCCTTCCCTCTCCTGTCATTCCCTCAGGCCTCCCTATGGTCAGAGCAGCTGACGAGGTACGATAAAGGCCATCCAAGGATACAAGCATCTACCTCCACACCAGTGATAAAGGATTCAAACCAGCACAGGATGAGAAGAGAGAACAGTACAAAAGGTGAAAGTCTTGTCAATCGCATGTTACAATCATTGTGAGCTCTCACACTAATTCGTTTTTCTTCTTCCTCTCTCACAGCTCAAAAGACAAGCGTCATCAAAACGGAAAACATTCACCAGACATTCTCCAATCAAACCACAAATATTCTACGAAACAAATCCCTTCGAGAGGCGGGTGTGCAGACAGCGTGAGTGAGACGTTCACACATTTCATATGAAAAACAGTTGAGATCTGTGTTTTTTAGTCCTTTAATGTGATACTTTCTCCCACACAGGTCTGGCTTTATCACTGTCAAGGAATCAGTGAGTTTCAGACTGTTGCTTTAATCATTGGTGGTGTTTGTGTAAACTTGTTGTCTGTAACTGTTCTTGTCTCTCATCCCTCACATTATAGGATGTTCAGCAGTTGGCTGAGTACTTGCAGGTAAACCAAACAAATCTTTTCCAAGTCCATTCTCTTTTGTTTAAAGTGGGACTGAGTAGCTCAACATATGAAGTGACAAACTCCTCCTCCAATATTCAGTATATTTAATTCAGATGCTGCTAGAATGGCCCAACCGTCCCTTTAAGAAACCACATCTAAATTAATTAGATCTGCATATTTATTTGGGATATGCACTAAAATATTAACACTCATAAATATCAGTCCCCTAAATTTGCCTGATTATTTTTAATCAAAATCCATTAATTATTCTATGAAAATGTTGGAAAACGCCCTATCTCCCAAGGATCAGTATCTTATGAATTCTTCTGTAATCACATTCACAACATACACTGTGTCCAGGTTAATATTTTTCACCCAGTATGTGAGCTGATATGCTTTTTAGAAGCATCATTAATTTAAACTGTAGCATCATTGATTTTGAGTATCAGGTTTAGAAGTTATCAGACGATGCTGACTGCCTCAGGCTACGCTCAGTATTTGTTTGTCGCTGCTGATGTCCTCTGCTGTCTGCTTTCTGTCAGGAGGCCCTGTGGAGAGAGGAGACCATGAAGAAGAAGCTGACAGCACTCCAGGAGAGCACGTCAAACCTCATGAACTCCTCAATGAAAATATGGACGGTAAGACTCTCTGTATGCACAGACCATTTATTTCAAAAGGAGCACCCTCCCAGTGTTTCGCATGAATGGTTTCCAAGTACCAAATGTAACATTCTCATTGTTATATGGCCACAGTGTTGCTGTTCATTGCTCTTTTGTTGCCTGGTTGATATTATGCTGAACATTTCACAGTTCAGTTGTGCACACAGCATGTGTTTGCCTCAGGAAGGCCTATATAGCTTGTGGTTTGAAGCTTCCTGCTTCCGCTCGAGTCTTAAGTTATCAGAGGAGTGCAAGCTGTCAATCTAGTACAGGAAGGGTGTGACATTCAGAAGCTGGTGTCGGTGCTATAATGAATGAGAGAGGGATGTGAATGTTTCCATTTTTCTCCAGATCTGGAGTTTGTCAAATTTTATCATCTGTTAAATAGTTTCTCACTCTAGTTTGTTTTTATTAGGCAACATATTATATTTTTCCACTCCTGTGCACATGCCGCAAGTTGCCTTGACGCACCAGTGAGCGCAGACTACGACAGAGCGTGCTATCACAGTTTTTTCGGTGCATGAACCATTAATTTCACATCAGCGTGACACTCATTTCCTCTCTAACCCACACACAGGCTCGCTGCAGTGAAGACCTGCTGAGAAACAAGATCAAGGCTCTGGAGGCACAGCTGCAAGTCTGCCTGCAGGTAAGAACAACAGCGAAGAAGAAACCACTGAGAGTTTTTGTCAAGGGGTTGTTTCTTCTATGTTCTCTATTTGGATTTATTTAGTCCTCTGTAAAACAGCCATATCATTACATGTCATATTTTGTCTTCATAGAAGTTTCCAAAAGATGGAGTGAAGAAACAGGTGGTGCAGATGGAGAAGCAGAAACTGGTATATGAGGAGAAGGCCTTGGTTGCCCTTCAGAGGATCACACAGGAGAAGAGTGATGCACTCTGCAAGGCTGAGACACTGCAGGTCAAACAGCTTATTATACAACCACGTTCTCTCTGTTTGGCTCAGGAGAAAGACTCAACATCAACTTCTCTGATTCATTTGGTTTAACATAGAATTAGTTTTGCAGCTGAAACGTGACCATTCTTTGTATCACCCCAGGAATCACTAATACAAGCAAAGGCCGAGGCGCTGAAGTGGCAGAGCCTGTATGAGGAGCTGAAGCTGAGCTCTGGTCAACTCAGGGAGAACCAGCACCTCAGTAATGAACAGCTGCAGCAGCTACACAGCCAAGTGGAGGTAGTGTTCACTGTGGTCATGTGCATGGTGAGAAGTTTGAATGTCAGTGGTGTTGAACATATGTGTGTGTCCTGTGCAGCTGTCCAGGAGCAGAGAGGCCGAGCTGAGAGAGGAAGTGGTGTCATTAAGACGAGAGAACAAGGACCTACAGTATAACATTGGCCTGCTGGAGGAGGACAACCATATCTTGAGAGGGGAAGTCCAGAACCTCAGAGGTGAGACACCCAGGCCTCGGAGCTAAAACGTTTGTTCATCCCGAATGTGAAAAAAACATCCTCTGCCTTTATCTGAATAATTTTTGGACAAAATACTACAGCAGGTATAATGCTGCAAAGAGAAAAGGTTGAACTGATTTCTGCTTCCTAGATGGTGGCAATGAGAGCCAGGACATCGTGATGCAGGATTGTCTGACATCAGAGGAAGCAGAGCCACAACTGACGCTGAGGAGAGACTCTCAGACAGAAGAGCAGCTCCGTCACACTCAGGAGAAACTTCGGCTCAAGGAGACAGAGGTAAAGGACATCACAGTATAGTGTATACTGGAGACATCACAGTATATTAGATACCAGGGAAATCACAGTATACTGCTGATATGACAGCGTACCATACACTGGGGATATATGTACACTGGGATATTATTTCCTGCCATACAGGTGATAATTACAGTTAGGTATTTCTCAATACAACATAATGAATAATAGATATCTTATCAAAATGAATAAAGCCCTCGGGACAATTTATCGTGCAGAGACATGAATATTTACAAAAAATGTTAAAGATGCTTTTAAAATGTTTATTTTAAAATGATATCAAAAAATGTATTTAGTGCACATTCTGGAAGTCTTATTTTCTGTTTTTCAACAAATAATAAATATAACAAATACATTACATCCTACATATATAAATATCACGCACTTTGGGAATTTTTCTTAAATCATATGGTGTGTGTGTGTGTGTGTGTGCAGTGTGAGGAGCTGCAGACGGAGCTGCAGGCTATGGAGCACGAGTGTCAGTCCAGCCAGGCCCGACTGTCGCAGTGCAGGGAAGAACTCAGGCAACTCAGCATCCGCCGCAGGAGACTGGTGAGCAGTGTGTGTGTGTGTGTGACTGTGACTGTGACTGTGTGTGTGTGTGTGACTGTGACTGTGACTGTGTGTGTGTGTGTGACTGTGTCTGTGTGTGTGTGTGTGTGTGTGTGTGTGTGTGTGTGACTGTGTGTGTGTGTGTGTGCATTTAAGGGGATAGTAATGTCCTTGCTACCACTGGAGTAGGTACAACAAAATAACAATAATAATAATAACAAAATAATGAAAATATTTTACTCCCTATTTTAATAGACACTCTGTGACGGCTGGTGGAAGGCGTGTGTGCTCCTCCTCCTCCTCTTCGCTGTGGCGGGGGTTGCCATGATGTGGTTGTGGCATCCTCCTTTCAGGGAGCAAGTTGAAGACCTGTACTCAGATATAGAGACACGTATTGAAAACTATCTCCTGGAAATGGCTTCTCCTCAACACTCAGGCTGTTTTAGACCAATATGACAACATCCCTGCTCAGGAATATTATTTTCTTATTGCTGTTGTTTAAAAAAAAGATTTTTACTGGATGTAGTATGTTGATATGTATTTCATATGATTTTGTAAGATAATGTTGTGTTGACATGATCAGGATGTACTGTGTTTGAGTGTGTGTGCAGAATATTCAAATACACATGCAGTGTGAACAAAGCAACAGTGTTTGTAATAATTTTAAATATAGTGTTGGAACACATACAAGTCTCATTTACATTATTACGTACATAATACATATAGTAAAAGTTACAGTACTTCACTGAGGAAACACTCAAACACTCACACATTAACGTACGTTTAAAATCTATAAATATTAGAAGCAAAATATACCTAAAGTCATAAAAATAAAAAAATAACTTTTATAAAATATAATGATCCTTGTCAGTTATATTAGGCTATTGCTTAACATACAGTAATATTGATTTTTATTTATTGATTGTACCAGCACTTTAATGTGTTAAATACTTTTTTTAAATATGTAAAATATGGGTTTGTAAAGTTTGTTTATTTATTCGATATAATCAGTGCTCTTGAATCAACAGACAAAATACTGTAAAGGAGCCAGAGTTAGCCATAAAACTAATTTTCATTTCTTGTGCCTTAAGTCAGTTTTTACAAGGCAACTTGAAATAAAATAAAATGACCTATTCTGTATAATAACAAATATACCATCGAAAGTAACTGTACAAGAAACCTGTGATTAACAAACAGCAATCAATAAAAACAAATAATCCATGATTAAAATACATTATAAAAATACTAAGAAGTAAAGTAACTTCAGCTGTCAATTAAATGCAACATACAACAATCATTTTACATAATATTTGATTCTGAATTGTACAGAAGTGGAAGTAGAAAGTAACAAATAATGAAAGTCTGATGTCTAAATAAAAATGATTTTCACAGTAAATATAAGATACTTCAGGGGGAAGGGCGAGAGAACCGTCCTATATCAGTTAAAACTGCAGCTGTTCTGTCTCTGGTGGCTCTATGTGGTAAGTACCAGCTGCTCATGGCTGTGCCAAACTGACTGAATGATATGATTCCACAGAAATGACAGGCATGACACACGACACCATCTATTGTCTGATAACACTCAAACATAGAGACAAAAACACATACAGCTCAGTGGGATAGAGCTTTTGTTCATTGTATCCAGAGGTTTTTAACTGTTCCAGATGAAGTGCTATTCTCACAGGCACTGACGCAGCACATCCCCCACACAGATCTGCAGCTCCCGTCTTTTCACACACGTTTACCTGCATGTTCCCTAATACAACAGTGCTCAGTGAAGAGATGGATCTTTGCTGGACTGAGGTCAGTCTCCTGGCGAAACTGGAACTGAAGGTCAGAGGCTGTGGTGCAGACGTACATGCTGCTGAGAGTTCTTGTAACATATTTCACAATATGACAAAGGGGATCTTGCCAAATTCTCTTGTTCTTACAGAATGATACTCCTCTGCAGGATGAGGACTGGAGCTGTGCTGCTGCTCGCAGGGTTGTTTGTGTTGAATGTCACATCTTCACTGAAAATCTGCGCTTTTAATATTCAGAGCTTTGGTGAAGCAAAGGCAAACAACCAGAAGGTCATGGGGATTCTACTGAAGGTACTCTACTGTATGTGACTAGAGCAACAACCAAGCAGAACTACACCACTGAAATATCTTTTTAATTTCTTTTTTTGTTCCTCAGATCCTTTCTCGATGTGACTTGTGTCTTATTCAGGAGGTCCGAGACTCTAAAGGAGAAGCAATACAAACTTTAGTTCAAGATCTTAACAGGTACAAGTGTTTGAGGGTGAAATTCAAAAGCTGGTGCAGCGACTGTTACTTCATATCTTTCATGTTGTTGTGAGCAGATTTGACAAATCCAACCCATACTCCTATGTGGAAAGTGAAAGACTGGGGAGGAAAAGCTACAAGGAACAGTATGTCTACATTTACAGGTAACTCTAGGCTGTTTATCCAACAGGACCAGATAGTGTTAAAGCTCGGTTTAACATGACATCATCACACCCCTGCTCTTCATCTATTTTCATCCTCAGGAACAATGTGTTGAAGGTCAAAGAGCTTTATCAGTATCCTAAACTGGATGAAGGGACCAATGAAACTGATGTTTTCTCCAGGGAGCCTTTCATCGTCCGCTTTCACTCCCCCACAACATGTAAGAATACATGAAAGAACAATACAGGAGAGACCTTTGGTTTCAGAAACCTGGGTTGGCTCGTCTCTTGGTTTTGGACATGTTGGCTGGATATTAGCAATTTATCCAGGTTTCTAATCATTCTCCATGAGTGAGTTCAATATCAGTCAATATAGTTACAATTCCAGAGGTTGGAGGATAAATGATCTCATTAATTTAGTTGTTCTCTTTTTTCCACCAGATGAAAAAGCGACAACAAACTAGGTTCTTCAGGCAATCCAGAATTTACAGATTTTCTGGAAATAAAGATGGCAGCAAAATAAAAGAATAGTGATAAAATCAGTTTTAAAATGGAACACATAATAACAAATTGATGCATAAAAGCCAATGCAGTATGTCAGAGCCTCGGGCCCCAGACGGCTAAAGCAGTTTTTGTTTGTTGCAGTGGTGAAGGATTTTGTCCTGATTGGCCAACACACCAGTCCAAAAACTGCCATGAAGGAGATTGATAAACTATATACAGTCTTCACAGGGATTTACAAGAAGTGGAAGACTGATGTAAGTGAAACCACATCTTCATCATCTTCATCATCTTCATCATTATGTCCTCATTCTAGCTTGAAATGTATGAGTTGTGATCTGTTAAAACGTCCATCTTGGCTTTACCTATTCACACCAGAACGTAATGATCCTGGGGGACCTGAACGCCGGCTGCAGCTATGTCACCATCAAGGGCTGGAGAGCCGTGCGCTTGAGGAGTGACCCAAGGTTTCTCTGGCTGATTGGAGACGAACAAGACACCACTGTCCGAAAGAAGACGCACTGCGCCTACGACAGGTCAGAGACTGCTGAAAAAAACTGAATCACACACATGAAGAAATCCTGCAGACACCAATCCTGTTTTCTTTTCACCAAACAGGATTATTGTCCATGGACGTGAAATTATTTCCAGTGTGGTTCCAGGTTCAGCTCAACCGTTCAACTTTAAAGAGAGTTTCCATCTCACTGAGGAGGAGGTAAACGTGTTACCCTGTATGTTATCACTTTTATATTTGACACAAACGTCAATCCTGATCTCTCTGTGGCTTTTTTAGGCTCTTGAGGTGAGTGATCATTTTCCAGTGGAAGTTGACCTGAAGCCCAACCACCGCTACCTCCTTCGCCATGAGCTGTAAACCTTAGGACGACCACTAACAAACCAGGACATCTTCATTATGACTATGATAAAATAAATTCACGTCATAAACAGAATGTTGACTGTACCATTCTTTTATAATGACTGATAAAAAAAAAAACAATAAACATGAGCTGTTTCATCGAGAAGGAACTGCATGTGTGAGTGTAGGAGTTCATATCGTGCATCTGAAACCATAACCGCATCAAAGCTGACATTTCATGAGCTCCTGAAGGTACGTTCCTGCAGCAGCACAAAACACTGCTTTTATTACTTCACTTTTTAGAGAGAAACTTTCTTTCAACATACTTTTATATCTTCATATTTAATGGCAGGCTAAAAAAAAATGCTGACATTCAATATCGCATGTTTAAATAAAGGCTTGAGTTTTAATATGTAATCTACGCACCGTCTATCTGACAGGAAGCCACTTGCAGCAACAAAGAAAAGTAACTTGGTGCTGTCTTCCTTTCAGAGAGGAAGCCTGATCTGAGGCAATGCATTAACATTTGTGTTGTTATAACTCCTGGTTTAATCAACAAATGTGTTTATTTGTTTATTTGCAAAGATGGAGCAAAGTCTTTCCAATCTCCTCAGCGATGCATTCTCAGGTAAGAAAACATTTTAGTATTGTCATGTTTTTTTTAAATGACAAATGAGTTATCATCGATGATGGTGTTGTTGCAGATTCGTCTGATCCACTGTTCCCTGACGGAGATTTAGACTTTGAGAATTTAAATTTTTATGAAAAGTTTGAGGAAGACAAGACAGGCATCTCTGATGAAGACAGAGCTCTGCACCAGGAAGGAACCGGTGAAACTGCAGTTTTGTTTAGTGATCCTGAAGATATATACACGAGTGAAGGTGTTGATAAAGATCAATTGGAAAATAAAGGTGGCAGGTGTACACCAGAGGAGGATTACACAAGCTCGGATGGAGACTGTGAACACGACTGCTTTGTGTCTGGAGAGAATGAAGAGGACATGGGCACAGGAGACAAACCAGGAGACTTATTGATGTCAGTTTGTTGCAGTGGTGAGTTTGGTCATGAAGAGGACAGGATCTCTGCTGAGGGATTCCCTTCTGCCCCGCAGGATGCTGCAATCCCTCAAGTTAGAAAAGTGGAACAAGGTGACAACAAGAGCGATGAGGAGGTGTCCTATTTTAAGCGACTCCCTGAAAGTGGCAATGAGATGATGACAAAAGGTGATGAGATTAAACAGGATGAGCGAGAAAGTGAAGGAGCCAAGCAAGAGTCTGACTGTGAGAGTGAGAGCATGAGAGTGACACAAGAAGAAAATGTGGAAAGTCCTAATAGAAGTGAGCCTGCGACCGCCACTCTGGAATTTCAGGATATATCAGTGCAAAATCTGCAGGGTCTCATTGCTGAAGCTGATGGTGAGGAATACGCAGAGAAAATGAAGGAATTCTCAGGGGAGGAGCATGAAGAGGCCGGTGAGAGCTTTGCAGATTATCCCTCAGACTTTTCTTCATGTGAATATGTAGAAGATGGAGTCAAACGTTTGGAAAGTGATTCCCAGTCAAGCGCCTCGTCTCGTACGTCCAACACTTGTTCAAATGCAAAGCAGAACGTCCGTGTGGAAGGAGCTGTGACGGATATAACATGGATGGGAACAGAGGAGGACACTGACGAGCAGGGAGGCAGGTATCTGTGCCACAGAGATTTGGAGATGGATGCTGATGTGTTCAGAAGTTACGATGTTGCAGTCAGAAGAAAAACAGAGACTGTTGGGAATGTGTCGGGTGAGAGTGAATCCTACAGCTCCAGTGATGATGAGGTCCAGGTGATGAGGAGAGAGGAGGAACTTGAAAATGACAACAAACTGGAGGACACTCTGCTTTACAGTCAAAGCGGTGCTGCCTTTTCCAGGTGGGGCATCTCTGACGACCACCACATTCTAAACAATGAAGCAGAACCAGCAGATCTCAGCATGAACTGGGATTTTGAGGTGTCAAAAACTGCTTCCGTCCTGTCTGAGGACCTGTCAACCGCAGAGGACACAGATAAAGCGGAAACAGCTCTTTCACATGCAAGTCAGCGTCCTGCAGATGACATCAACACCTGCTCACTCATACAGAGAGAGGAGGGCAAATCCACAAGTCCATCTTACCAGGGATCCCTGGATGATAGCTTCTTCTTCAACACAGAGGTCCAGGCCCAGGGGATCACTGAGCTGGGGCAGTTGGGAGATGATGAAAATGACGAGGAGAGGAGCTGGGAGCAGGAGAGAATTAAGGCTTTCTTCAGGTTTTACAATGACAGTGAAGGGGAGGATGAAAGAGAAGGTGAGTGGAGATGAGACGGGTTCATAGCCTTTATTACTAAATAATGTTAAAAGCCTCACATGTATTCCGCAATTCATCCGTTTCTATTTGTGCATGTTTTTAGAGAGGCAGATAAAAGTTCAGTTTTGTGCAGATCCCCTATCTCAAGTCATTCACTATGAAACTGACAGGTAAGCAGAGTTTCTTGTCTGCATCAAACATTATTAGTTCAACCTGATGTGTGATGGACACAACCAAAACTGTCTCTCTCCTCTTTGCCAAGCAGTGACAGTGATTCACTCAGCAGCTCCACAGACGGAGAGGACGACCCGAGTTCTGCAGAATCATCTGAAGTGAGAGCTGATGATCATTTTCATGTGGTCACAAGTGAGAACACACAGAACCACATACACACTGTTTTACTGCGTTGTCTGTGACCAGGAACTGAAAGAAGCTGATGACACCCTGCAAAGGATGCTTGCCCCTGATCCCCCAGAGACTGAGGTGCCACAGAGCGAGCCAGAGAAGGATGTCAGTCACAGACAAATCTGTAGCAGAAGACACAAGGTCCGTACTCACTGGATATTGATGAACATTTGCTTTGTTTGTTTGTGCCTAAATTGATTACTGTTGTTTTCTTCTGCAGTGTCTCAGCATGCTGAAGTCAATACTGACGATAGGTTTGGTCGTAGTGATGGGACTGCTGATGTTCTGGTTGGCTGCAGACCAACCAGACTGGCTTTTCATCTGGGACTAGTTATGTTATGTTATATTATTATACTGCGCTATGGTGTGCAACATTATGCTATCTTATGTTATGCTATGCTTTAATTTGCTATGTTCAGCAAAACAAAGCTAAATTGTTATTACATGCTAACTTGCAGGCTTTGTTATGCTATGCTATGCTACACTATGCTATTTTATGCAAGATATGCAGTGTAAAATGCTAAATACTGATAATTGGAAACCATTATCTTTAATATGCATTAAATGTGTAACATGAACCATAGATAAGACATGTTCCCTTTAAATCAGGGCTAAATGGGCCTATAGCTAAGGCCTTTACTTATATTGTATTTTTGGTGAATTATTAATAAACCTGACAATTATTGAAATTTACTATTATTTGTGGTAGAAGGTAACAAAGAATTTCTACTTTTCTCTTCAAATTCTTAAATAAAGCTATTGGTTGCTTTTTACTCTATACTGCAAGTACTGATGCGAATAAATCTTTTACATACAAAACTTGTGATTTACTTAAACTGCTTCATTTATCCTAATTTACAGTTTTATTTAGCCAACAAACTTAATTAGCCAACAATATGCAAATTGCTTGACATTAGGCTCCATGTTAGCAGGTACAACAGTAACGCGCTGCTTCAAGTTGTTAAAATGGTGGACTTGGACAAAATGAATGGATTTAATTAATATGAATAAAATGTAAAGATGATAATAATCACTGTAAAAAAAGAAACAGTTTGGGAAGAGGCTTTTTTCGTTAAATAAACTGCAAGTTAGTGACATTACTGATGAGAGAACATTTAATTCCGATACACGAGTGTTGATCGCTTTAGTTACTTTAAATACCAGCCAGCTGGTGGCGCTGCTTCATTTCTGAAAAGTAACCAGAATAAAAAAAGAAACCATAAAGAAGAATTTGCCAACCGGAAATGATGTAGACTGAAAGTGCGAATGTTTTTCCACACCTGACTCAACAAACGAGGGCGGGGTTAAACCTCTGTTTGCTCCCCTGAACAACCAGTGGACTTGCCCGGGCTGCCCGCGAGTTCAAAACGAGCTCCCGGTCGATTTAGGCGGGCGGGGTTTACAGTCGTCTTTCCTTAAAGACTGAGAGAACAGCTGAACAGAAACGATACCAAAACAAATTCACCCCATCGAGGCTTGAGCGAATAAAGCGAGAGGAAAACACAATGTCTTCTCTGAGCGGTAAAAGTGCGCAGGAGATCAGCGAGCTGCTCGATGAGTTCGGGATCAGACACGGACCTGTGGTCGGTGAGAGGCTCACTTTGTTTACTCTCTGTCCGTGTTCGAACCCACGTTAATTCCTGTTGAGTCCACAGGCCTCCTCCTCCTCCTCCTCCTGTCTGTCACCTCAGTGCTGTCTGCTCCTGATCCTTCATCCTTCCTTTTGTTCTCAGACTCCACCAGAGATCTGTATGAGAAGAAGCTGAGAGAGGCCATGGCCACAGAGAAACGAGCCAAGTACAGTAAACCCTCACCTGACAAGACCTACTACAGAGAAGAGGGTATCTGTCCATCTCTAGATTCTCCATTCACATACACTCACATTCTGAGGCTGCATATGTACAGGATTGTTAGTGTTGAAGAAACTCTTGTTATAAAATCCTATTTGAGCACTTTATAAGAAACATCTGTACAGCTGTTTATTCTTGCAATGATCCAAGTCAACTGTGTGGCAGCAGCAGCAGCATAAAGTCATTCACACACAGGTCAGCAGCTTGAGCCCTCAATGGGATAGTTCACCCAAATATGAAAATTCACTCACAATCTACTCACCACTACGCCGATGGAAAGGTGGGTGAAAGTGTTTGAGTCCGCAAAACACTTTTTGAGTCTCAGGGGTAAACAGCGTTTCAGCCAAATCCAATAAAATTGAAGTAAATGGTGAGCGCTTAAAATGTAAAAAAACCTAAAAAGCCTCCGTACTGGACACTTGGATGACCAGTTACTTCAATTGTATTGGATTCAGCTGCAACACTGTTTATCCCTGAAACTAAACAAAGTGTTTTGTGGACTCAAACACTTCACCCACCCTTCATCACCATCAGCATAGAAGTGAATTTTAATTTTGGGTGAACTATCCCTATAACACGGAACAGTCTTCGCCTGAATGCCTCAGCCTAGTCTATCTTCTTCTGGCTTCATCCAGCACGATGCTCCGTGTCACAAAGCAGAAATCATCTCAAACTGCTTTTGTGAACATGACGATGAGTTGAGTGATTCAGATTTGAATCCAGTTGAACACCTTTGGGATCTGTTCAAACGGGAGATTGGCAGCATGAATGTGCATCTGGCAAATCTGCTAAATGAATGTGATGCAGTCCTGCAACAGGAACCAGAATCTCAAACAGATTGTTGAAAGTTATCCATGCCATGAAGAAATCAGACAGTTTTACAAGTAAAGGGAGATCCTACCCAGAATTTGTATGGTGTTCCTAATAAAGTGCTCAGTGAGTGTATATACTATGTGTTACACCTTGTTTATCTAGAGCCAAATATCTTCCTCTGGCCATACAGGTTCCAACCTATTCCAACCTCCCTCTGAGATGATGTGAAGCCAATCATAAGTGAAGGAAAACAAATTTGCTGATCTGTTTGAATTGACAAAAAATGAATGTGGACACCACAGTAGCACTGAACCTTTTCCTAAATCTGAAATGTTACTGAGCAGCAGTCAATGTGCTCCCAAGTCTTACAAATGTGCAGAAGTAATGGGACCTTCTCCTGACATTTAGTGTGATACTTGTTTTTATTGCAGAGGACGAAGTCACCTATGTTTACAGGACACCAGTAAGTATCTCTGTCCCCCAGGCCTCCGGGTGCTTTATTGTTTTTTTCATTACTTGCCTCCTGAATCTGAATGTGAGTTGTAGTTTTATTGCTTTCTCGTTGCTTAGGGATGGAGGGAACATTTTACCCCTGATAATGATATTTTAGCCGATAACTGCAGCTGTACCTGTGAATGACCACAAGTACCTAGGATGTAAACGCATCTGTGCATGCCAGTCTTGCAAAATGAGTTTCATGCAACAAGGTATCTTAAATTCATATTGATTGCTTTTTTTTTCGTGAAGGCACTTGGGAAATAAATATTATTTTATGATGAATATCAGCAAAATCGCCTTTTTTGTGTTTACAGCTACGATCAGTTTACATAAGTTTCAACCATGTGATCATCAATCTAACAGTATTCTAATGTTTAAGTTCTCCATTAACCCATTTTTGTAAAAATGTGCTCCAGGCACTTAACCTTGGAGTTTCAGTGACGAGAATCACATATTTGTTCAAAATGAAATGGAACTCTAGACTCTTCTTTAAAAATCTGATTGAGCAGGGCATCCCATGCAAGAGCTAGAGTTGCAGACATAATAGTACATTAAAATGAATTGCAGCAATAGTTAAAGAGCTGCATTGTTTATATCAACACTGTTGTAAAAACCTGACTAATTTTTTTCTCTGATTCTGGATTTGCAGGTCAAGAATGAGGGTGGAGACTATGGTGACAGGTTGGTTCTCACTGAGGCTCTCCTATGTTTAAACTCTGATTGTCTTTCTTTTATAATCACTATTTCTATTTCATGTTATCAACAAGCTAATAATAGTCTGAATGATTATTTACTTCTTCTCTATCCATCCAGAGGCTCATACCTGAGCTCCAGACCCAACTGGGCTGAGAGGGAACTTGAACAGTAAGCTACAGTTAGAATTGTTTGGGTTTTTTGTTGTTCCAGTTGACAATGGCTGAACAAAACCTTCATGTTTACATTTTATGTCGCTTTCCACAGGACGTCTTACTCAGCGTACCAGAGGTCAAGGCCTGAATCCAGAGGAAGAGATTTTGTTGATGAGTAAGTGAATTAATAAAAAGATGATTGGTCTCATCAGCCATTTACATTCAAATATATGATATATACGAAATATACGATATTAGCCTTTAACAGCGTTATCTGACAGGTTGGCCTTTGGTTGCTGCTAGTATATTAGGGAGATGTTAATATGTTGTAGCATAACTGCTCTAATTTCTCCTTCAGCCACTACATGCATGAAACGCCGTCCACTTACAGAGCCTCCTCCTTGAAATCTACGCCCATGAAATCTGATCAAGATGCTCCGAAGCCCCCAAAGTCGTCCCCCTTCATCCCAATGTGGGTTCAGCTCGTGTTCTTCTTGGCTGTGGCAATTTTTCTCTACTTGGTTTTTTCCAGCATGGAGACAAATGAATCCCTCAAAGGGCTAGAATGATTGAGTATTTTATTCTTCCTCCATTTATTGGGCTCTTACACTTTGTGTTTCAATTCAAGGAATGTATTTTGGTAAATGCCTTTATTTTAGACATTGCTGAAATTGTTGTTTATGCAATATTTGTGTGTGTCACTATTGCAGTTTATTAGCCCGCTTATTTTTATAAGGTAAAATACATGATTGTCACAGGCGTCAGTCTCACAGCTCTACCAAAAACAGATGAGGACACTAAGGTAGCTGCAGCGTCATCTGAGGAATTTTGTAGATAACTGTCCACAGCTCACTGCAGCACAATGTACTCAGTGATGCTTGGTGCAAAATGCCAGGAAATGACAGTTTAAACTCTACTACTATCTTGATGTGAGCAAGTGGATTTCCTGAATAAGAAGTCACACTCACAGTGAATATTTGGCACATTGAGCATCACAAACTGCAGAAAAATGCCTGTCCACTCTATTGTATTGATCTTCAGCAAATGATATGTTTGCCTCAGCAATTCACATCGAATATTCATGCACAATTAAAGAAACGATAAATATCCAGTCATTTAACTGCACACACATTTCTTATAAAAGGACCATCACATGCCATCAAAAAACTTATAATTTAAACGTTTCATTGTTCAATATCTTAAAAACTGACTGATCACAATGTGTAAAAGTTAGAGATCTTTTAAGTATCCCAAAAATTTTACATTTTTGTAGTGTTTGGTATTCCGAGTATCTAACAGTATATCATTCTGTGTACATTGGTATTATGAAGACTAATCAGAACCTGCTAGTTAAATACTCTTAAGCATGCGTCCTTTGATTCATTTTGCGGGTAATAAATGATTACATTAAAATACAGGTTGGACAGTTTTTGGCTGTAATTCAAGTGCCTCAGCAGTTTCACAGTAATAATTGGGATATAAATGTTTTTTCAGTGTTTATTCAAGCTGTTATGTCACGATTATGCTTTTTTTCACAAGAAGTAATTTTGAGGTATTGCACTTTTGTACCAAATACATGCATACAGAGTGTGATGTGGTTTGTTTTGTACTTCAGTTTCATTATTCAAAATATAAAAGAGCTTGTATACGTTTACAAGTTTAAAGGCTTTTATTCAGGGGCAAAAACAATATTTAATGTTTAAATAACGGAGGGTATAAAAATAAAGAAACTATATTGTGCATTTCATGACAATAGCTTTCTCCTTTTATGTAGTTTGATCTGATGCTATAAACTACATAATACATGCAGTAATACCATAAAAAACGAATTGAAACCAGAAGCTCCTACAACAGCAACATTTTTATCGATTCAGTTTCTACTTGGACACTTCTAAGTGCAGTAATGTACATGTTAATGACATGATGAAGAGTAGGGTTAGACTTAAAATACAAAAAAACATTTTATAATCCTTTAAGGATCATTGATCTGTGGAAGCAAATACATAGAAAGCTAGTTGAGCCTGCCATTAGTGTTACCTGGTAATAAATACAAAATGTTTTTGAGCTGCATATACTCAGAGACCTGAAGAACCCATGTCACAGTTTCCCCAGTTTAGTATTTAGTTGTAATTTCCCCACTCCATACATCTGAGGTCATGGCAGTAACCGAGTGAGTGAATCTGAAGTCCAACCTGAACCATAAACTTGACTTGGAAGTAGTTGCTCCTGTCTCTCAGTCTTCTGTGGCCATTAGCTTGCACCTCACTCTAATACAATCTGTAATAGCCAGTTATATCCATTGTTTCCCTGCAGTGACACTAGTCTGAAGTTTGGTATGCTAGAAATATGTTGTAGTCTTAGGTCTATGTTAGTGTCCAGTGGAAACTACCTCATCCAGACTGTTCTGAACAGGGTCCATCTGGTACCTCTAGTCAAAGGTGTGCGACGACCAGCCGAGCCTTTTGGTTCTCTTGTTACATGCCGTCTGAATCCATGTAGGACAGTGTCATCCTTCTGACGCTTCACTCACTAGAGATTCTGCTTGAAAGGACAAACACAAAATGCACCATATTAATTCACTAACCTCACACAATTAAGAACAGCGATACAATCAGAGCAAAATGTAGTAACTAAACAGTATCCACCCATACTCAGATGTTTTTTTGTTTTATTCATACGTGACAGATCTATCAATCTAAGTAGATTTAATGTGGCTTTTCGTCAGCTGGAGGTAGAAACTATATAAATACATGTTTACATGAGTTTTAATTTTCTTTATATAGAATATGTCTAAATCATAACTGGTGTATCCAAGCTGGTTTCAGAATTAGAAACATAGAGATGAGTTTAAAAGGTCCAGTGTGAAAGTCTTTTTTGTCAATTATGGTAACGTGTTGAATCACCTGAAACCAATAATTGTGTTTTGGTAACCTTGCACTTTCAATGGTACCCACCTGAAAGGCCACCACACTTATAAAGGTAGGGTAAGGCAAAGGGTATTAAATTGGCTGCAATATGCAGCTTTACCACTAGATGCCATTAAATCCTTCACACTGGCCCTCTCAATTACACCTGGAAGTAGAAGGTCCAACTTTGAGTGAGACAGTTTAATGGCAAAACCAACACAATGAAGACCCAAAGAACACTGCTAACAACTCACAAAAATGTAATTGATACAAGAATATAATAAACACCCTTTCATTCATTTTTGTAAACCGGTAAAATGAACATTTCTAAGAGTGGTAGGTATGTAACACTATATATGAAGTGTTAGTGTAAGAATCATGACCTTCAGTACCTTTAGTTGTTGTTCTGTTGCTTGTGTACCCCATTATAGCTTGTTAATTGATAAGGCAACATAAGTGTTGTCCACACCTGTAAAGAAAAGCACATCTGTTACTATTGGTAGACATACATGACATCTTCTAAAAGTCATATCAGTCTGAAGTATAAAGAGCTCAGTAGGTGGAACTTACAGGTTCTGGTCTCTCGTTCTAGTTCAGAGGGCTTCTTCTCCTTGTTACATAGTACCTTGGCCACAATAATTATAACAATGACAGCTACCACAAATGTCAGGCCAGACACAAGCCAGCTGATCACCATTGGACTCAATAGTGGATCTGGGTCTGGGGGTCAGAGAAGTAACCTGTGAGTTTCATTCAGGTTTTCATTGATAGAACAACTTGTAACAACTTGTAAACTAGAGGAAAACATCAAATCTGTACAATAAAAAACTGTCAGGAAAGAAATCTAGATAGACTCTAAATGATGTAATATTCATATTATAGTATCATTCAGTATTTTATCCACTCAGATTATTAGCACACACGATACCTTTCTTAATCTTTAACACATCTTTATAGTATGTAATACTATCAGTTTCACCTCTTATGGCTATAGGCAGGGGCTGGCTTTCTCTGGAAACAAAGGTGCGTCCACCCAGTTGGACCCGATACAGGCAGTAGTAGTAGCCCTCGTTGGAGCTCTGGGCGTTGGAAAAAGTGAAAGTGACGGACGGGGCGAGGGCAGGCAGGGACTGGCGCACGGTGCCATTGGACCGGATCAGACGCAGCTGGAAGGAACCTCCGGGGTACTGCTGCAGGGTGGAGCAGGTGATATTAAAATTGTGGCCTTTAATTACGGAACCAGCCGGGGCCTCAGAGGACGTGTTATACCAGTGTTGGGGAGTCAAGAGCTCCACTGTGGATGAAAAATAAAAATCAATAGATTATGAGAGGTCATTGAGATAACATGAGACTCTCTTGAAACTGCAGGGATTCAGATTTAACTTGATAACAATCTTTATCCTAAATTACATTTGTTATTACAAAATGTTTTAAGATTATTTGGTCTTTTCCACCATCTCCATTGACTGAGAACTTTACTTTTTCAAATATATATGAACGTCATGACGAAGACATGTCTCAAACTCTACTTCAACATTGGCCCTGAAAGGTCCAAAATGGTTTAAAACGCTGGGTGGCGTTATGAGCCATGTTCAAACCATAAATGTAGCTTTTGCTTATGAGAATGGAGGTTGGAGGTTAATAGATTTAATACAAATTAGACAATACAGTTTTGACTCACCCACGGTGATGTTGATGGAGTTGCTTGGCGGAGAGCTGAGCAGCTGAGAGGGGAAGCCACCCTTGATCCTGTAACAACAACTGTAGCTGCCCTGGTGGAAAGTCTCTATGTCGGACAGCGTGAGCTCCACCCCGGCCTGGGTCTGGTCTGCCCTCTGTGTAACCAGTGGAGTGGACACTCCGTGCTTGTACAGGTGGAAGTCACTGAGGTGGTGACCCGGCAGAACACTGCAGCCAAAGCGAACAGCCTCGCCGGGTGAGAACACAGTGTGATGTGACAGCAGGGTGAGGGTGGGTGTTAAAAGGGTACCTGAGTAAAGACAGGTCAAAATGTGAGGATTATCCAATAGACTGTACCCAGCTTATCGAATACCATGCTGACATGCAGACTATTTCAAATACTATCCGAGTGTTTCAGATACCCCACAAATCTCAGTGTACAATCCTACATTTATGTTTTATTCCTTCCTCGTTCCTTAAAAAAATGTATTTCTTTGCCCAGCCCACCCCTCTTCAAACAAACACTATGTACATTTATTCATTCGTTCATACAATTCTGTCCAAAGCAAGGCTCAAATTAGGTACAAATACAGAGAAGGTAAGCTTCAAAGAGGTGAGTCTAAAGTGATTTTTGAAGACAGAGGATGATTCTGCAGACAGACTCAAGTAAAGTCCCTCATGGGTCAAGACTGTTGCTGTCATAACAGACATTGGTTTTCTGCTAATGCTGAAGGTTTTTGATAATTGCACAGATTAATGGACTGGTGGGAAACAGATTGCTGGTCAAATCAAATCAAATCCACACCTCTTAACAAAATGACATGCCTCACTGTCCCAGATAAATTGTGTGTTTTCTAGTTATGTCCGTATTGTTAACTTATGTTCAATGGAGAAACCTGTCACACTGTATAACAGTGAGCTTTGTATATCCTCTATGGATCAAAAAAGCAGAAATCAGTCAACCGTCTGGCAGTGCTCCTTGGAAAATAAAATTCCTTATCAGACCAAAGTCTCACCTGAGCATTTCACCCCTGCATCATTCTCATGGGTGCAGTAGGAGTTACTGTGGAGGACAACAGCACAGCGTGTCAAACTAGACTCATGTCCAGTGCACTGGACATGGCGCAGCCAGATCGCCCCTCTACCTTCACCAAATCTTGCACTATGAAGGGCCAATTCAGCTAAACCACAGCCCAGCTCCAAGCAAACAACGTCAGCCTCCCGGATGTCCCAGCCATGGTCACAAACTGTCCCCCACTGGTCATGGCGGAGTACCTCCACTCTCCCAGAACACTTGTCCTCCCCATCCACTAGTCTGACCCCACCTGTGGATCAGAGAAAAATTTGTTCAGCCATTTTTACACATGAACTCCAGAAATATCTGGACAATTGGGTCTGAATATTCTCCACAGGATGAGATTGTGGGAGTTGATGAGTTCACAACAACAGGAAAATCTCTGGAGCATTCAGGCGAGGGGTGGCGTCTGAGTAAAGCATGCAGGAGGCAGGACATGACGTATAAATTCTGCTGAGGCAATCACAATCTTTTGTTTATAGAACAATGACACCAGCGCCACCCATTATCCTCAAGGGCTCTTGAATCTAGTTGTCTTTTCAAGTCGACATCTTCGTTCGCATATTCTACGTGTATGGCTACTCTTTTTCATCCTGGGATATTTGTATTATTTTGAATGACATTAGCGTTGTCAAAGACAGCCCCTCAGGAGAATCTCAGGAGAATGTCTGGAGTTCAGTGCATGAGGATGAGACAGAGAAATCCCACACTTACCAAAAGCATCGACTCTATCCCACACCACACCTAAGAGGCCTGTGAGGAGGACATTACAGACATGGAATTATTATCTGACAAAAACAAATTCAATTACATTCATGCCAACAACAGCAGCTACTTAGCTAGCTGTCTATTAACTACACCTAACACTAGCCAAATGAATACAGCTCATCCAATACAAAAATCCTGCTATGAACAGTTATTTTTTCTTTCTACTGAAATATATATATATATATATGTGTGTGTATACAAGAAACAAACATATTTCCACTGTGCAAGTAAACCATTTTTTTAAAAACAAATGGGATATTATGGAAATAGATCGATCTGTGGTACAACATTTGTCATAGTTTAGACATAAGTGTTTAAACTCATTGATAGAACAGGTGAAGGTGGACAGATCGTTGTGTTGTGTGACAATTAAAAGATTATTTAGCCACATTAAACAATAAGGTTGAGCTCAGCTGTTCAACATACTACAGCCTCCAAATGACCACACATATATAACTCCACTATACTTTGTAAATTCAACTTATTTCAATAGGAATTCAGTGCTAGCTACTTAGTAACTGAGATTAGGCTAAAGAGAAGCTTAGTGTGAATTAACTATAATTACAAGATAATGTGTCTTAATTCACAAATAAGAGAAAAGACTTTAATACTTTAATTTAAATAGAGTAACGGGCACAGTTATCCTATTGCGTAATCACATAAACTACCGAGCTCATACCTAGCTAGCAGGCTATCCGACGTTAGCTAGCTTAGCTCACCTGCTAGGAGGAGGATGTGGAGGAATCTCAGCATCGTTCCCCTCACCCTTCCATCAGCCGCCCGGGGGGGGAGAATGCCCGGTGTCCCGGCAATGGTGCTGGCCGCCGTTTAAACACAAGGACCGCACAAGACATTAGCTAGCTGGTGTGCCGGAGAGACTCGGATTGGCTAACAGTACTAAGAGCTAGCGATCGGCTAAAGTTCTGACCAACTAGCACTTAGCAGCGGAAGTGAGTTAAAGACATCGTAGGTAAAAGAGCAGCGCGGAGGAGAGGACGGTGATTATTATAAGTGTAGTGTGGGAGTGGAGAGCGTCTGCTGGCGGCTCTCAAGACAACGACATGTCCAGGGAGGGAGGCTGCGTGTCGGGGTGACGCTGGGTGAGCTATCTGCCGTCAAGGCCGCCGCAATCACGTCGTCAACAGTCCGGGAATTAACGCCGCTGGTGAGCTGTTCTCTCTGCGGCAGACAGAGGTCGCTGCTCCGCCGCAGCGCAGCTCTGACGCCGGTAATCTCCTCTGGGGGTCACGACTCTGCTCAGCGGCTCAGGAGCTCGGGATCCGGAGCCTGATCTCACAGCCTGGGCCCCAGAGAGTCACATTCACCTTCACATATACAAGCGTGGAAGAAGTTTCTCAGATTATAGTAAACTTTTGTATTTGTTCTCTGTTGTTCAGTTACAAATCAAACATTTCAGAATATACAGTAGGACAAGATGTACGTTTACCATCTTTTAAAAACAATGTAGTTCTCCATTATCATCAGATCATTGTAATTTTTGTGTTTTTTCTGTTGATCAGTGAGATATCAAACAAATTAAATATGTGAACCCAGGTAATAAGGTTTCTAATCTCTCACTTTATTTGTAAACACTGAACCATCATTATATGCAAGTATATTTTATGCAAGTGTTCAGCCTTCAATGTTATTTTAATTTATTTGTTCTTATGTCTTTATAATGACTACTTTTATTTCATTATTGCATATTTATTTTTTACTAGTAAATTATATTTAGTAAATTGAAAATATAGATTTATATTCTGCGTATCTTATTATTACTACTCTGCTAATTATGGATTATGTTATTACTTACTTATATACTTTATCTTCATATACAGACACTCACCGGCCACTTTATTAGGTACACCTTGCTAGTACCGGGTTGGACCCCCTTCAGAGCTGCCTTAATTCTTCGTAGCATAGATTAGACAAGGTGTTGGAAAGATTCCTTAGAGATTTTGGTCCGTATTGCCATGATAGCATCACATAGTTGCTGCAGATTTGTCGCCTGCACATCCATGATGCAAATCTTCCGTTCCACCACATTCCAAAGGTGCTCTATTGGATTGAGATCTGGTGACTGTGGAGGCCACTGGAGTACAGTGAATTCATTGTCATGTTCAAGAAACCAGTTTGAGATGATGTGAGCTTTGTGACATGGTGCATTATCCTGCTGGAAGTAGCCATCAGAAGATGGGTACACTGTGGTCATAAAGGGATGGACATGGTTCTTAGCTGACAGGTGTGGTCTTCTGCTGCTGTAGCCCATATGCTTCAAGATTCGACGTGTTGTGCGTTCAGAGATGGTATTCTGCATACCTTGGTTGTAAAGAGTGGTTATTTGAGTAACTGTTGCCTTTCTATCATCTTGAACCACCAATTCTCCTCCTACCTCTGACATCAACTAGGCATTTTCGTCCACACAACTGCTGCTCACTGGATATTTTCTCTTTTTCTGACCATTCTTTGTAAACCTTAGAGATGGTTGTGCGTGAAAATCCCAGTATCTTAGCAGTTTTTGAAATACTGAGACCAGCCTGTCTGGCACCAACAACAATGCCACGTTCAAAGTCACTTAAATCCCATTTTTTCCCCATTCTGATGCTCGGTTTGAACTTCAGCAAGTCGTTTTCACCACGTTTAGATGCCTAAAAGCATTGAGTTGTTGCCATGTGATTGGCTGATTAGCTATTTGTGTTAACATGCAATTGAACCGGTGTACCTTATACAGTGGCCTATGAGTGTATATGTTTATAATTAAATTTTGTATGGTTTTTTTGTTTTTTACCTCATATTTTCCCAACAGTGACTATACTTGTAAAACTGGTATTACATTAAACATCATGGAATTGTGGTCATACAGGGCTGATTACAGCCACTGCAGGTGTAAGACAGTGATACCGTGTGTATACATTTCACAGAGAGAACGACAAACAGGCACCCATTGATTTTAGATGGGACCTTTCAGAAATATAACACTAACAGCAAGTATGTCTCAATTTCACTTTGCTCCTTGGGAGCTGCAGTCTTCTCACAACTATTCAGTCACGAGCATGTTCTTCCTGGCTGGAGGAAAAATGTTGATGAATCAACAAAAACCACAACCAGAGGAAGTAATTTTTGCTGATGCGTGTATGACTAGTCTAGTTGTCTGGCACATAAAGAGACTTACTTTTTATGCTTCAAGGCATGTTTCTCATTTCCTATTGTTTTCCAATCATAGATGACTTGGCCTTCTCTGGCTAAGGGTCAATTTCATTTCCTTTATTATGACCAAATATGTTCACATTTTAAGTGACTCATATTATATTATTATTATATAGACTTGAAACTTGTCCCTGAAGACTCTTTCAAATATAAATTGAAGCATTAAACTCTTGTATGTATGCATTATTAACAAAAACATGGATTTTAAAGATGGGATATGCATTTTATATTTGTACTATATGGATTTGAGTGAAGTTACGTTGGCATTTATCTTTCATGCTGATCAATGGCATAAAATTAGAACATGTTGTAAAACATTAAAACATGAAAAAGTCCAAAGGGGAGAATCATTTTTATAAGCATGATATGCAGAGATAGTGGAAGAGTTGTTTTCAGATCCATGCGACTGAGTTTGAGACATTAGTGGGAACAATAAAACATTCTCAGCAAATAACAGTATGAAGTTTGGAAAACGCTTCTGGGTGTTCAGTCAAGGTATAAACACAAGTTACAAGCAAATAAGAGCCTTTACTGTAATAAAGGCACTATGCTTGTATGTAGAGTTATAAAAGTGGAATAAAATTTAATTCACTAGAGAAATCTCTGACTATAGAATACTTTTTTCAGTTGTGTCTTTTATCCAGATCCTAAACTTATCAACGGGTATAAAGTCCTAACTAAATGAATCAATCTGTATATTTGGCTTTCGAAACAGAACCAGCACACGATTGCCTAGCATAATCTGATTCATCAGTTATTGAGCCATAGTGAAAATGCAAAAACCCTGCACTACTATTGTGTATACAACAAACTAAAGGCAGATTTCTCAACTGGGGGTCAGTCACCAACTCATTTCGTTTCCTTGATGCAGTTTATTGAACCACTGGTCAAATAAGCATCCAAGTTCTCATTATATTGGAAAAGGTGACCATCTTTTTCTAAGAAAAAAATACAGATAAATCTGTATATATATGTTCATATATATATATATATATTAATGAAAAATATGATAACTTTCTCTGTAATTCAAAACCAGAACAGCATTTGTGAAACAGAAATCTCAAAATGGTCTGTGGTCATTACACTGCAAGGAACAGCAATATTATTTTCACTTCATCAGAATAACTTCCCTTTGATAACTTAATGAGTCAACCCGTGTGTGTGTGTGTGTGTGTGAGATGGGACATTCACCACTGATAAAAGGAAACAAACAATGTCATAAAATACCAAAACATAAAATAACTTAGTTAACTTAACACTAGTCGTCTAAGTAGATGACCTTTTTTCACAGGTTTGGAGTTTCAGTAAGTACCACGACTTCCAAGAATTATTTTGATAAACTCCTAATAACAAGCTTTCAATAAAATAATCTGTTTAGCTCTTTGGATAACAGTACAATATGCTTCAGCTCCACCATAAAAGTCTCTGTAGCACCACATCAGAATATGAACAGTATGTGCTACATCTTCAAAAAGTCTCTTGCTCAGTGTGACTTGGGTTTTGCGAGGAATCCATCATTTATCAGGAAGCTGCCAAACTTCAAACATGTCTTCACTTGGAGTCTCCCAGCAGATGGACAATGAGTTCGTAAGAGGAGAGGACGATGGCTGTGTTAGGGATTTGTCTAATTAGCTGTGGAATGAGTCCTCTATAAAAAGCTGCATAACCTTCCTCCACTGCTATTAACCTTCCTGTCTGGAAGAAATACTTGTACTTGCTGCCTTCCTCGCGCAGCCTCGTCCGTATGACCTCTGCGGAGAAAGAAGCACAAAAATAGTATTAGCCATTTAAGTAAATATGAATACTCTACCCTGACATTAGATTGTTGCAAAGGAAAAACAATGAATACAAGTGTTTACCATGTGGGTAGGCGATGCAGGACGCACAACCCTTTGAAAAAGCAGCTGCCATCATCAAACCCAGGAAGTCTGATGCTCCTTTCTCCTTTTCGCCATTTGGGGAGGCGAACTGGCTCTTGGCGAGGTGTTTCTTCAGTGTCTCGTAGATGAGGAAGCAGATCATAGTCTCCGAGATGCCGGCGTAAGATGCAGTCAGGCCTCGGTAGAATCCACGGATCCCTTCTGTTCTGTAAACGTAGCGGGCGCACTGCAGTGCATTCATCTTCTTCTCTCCTCTGGCTCTGTAAGATCAGACAGGTCAGGCTCTTTAGTGCTAAAATCATAATATGATAAATCCCCAGCACAAGGTATCAGAACAGTACTAAACCCAATTATACATTTTAAGAAAACAGCGTTTGCATTTGAAGCATTTCCTACTTTAAAATATATTAAAATTGCAACATGTTTTATCCATTTGAAGAAAGCAAGGGAGCTAAGTAGTTTCCCAAATAGTTTGAATTAGAACCTAATTTAACTTAATTTTGTTTGAAATACTTGAATCTTTCCCCCTCATTCATAAAGCCATAGTTTTGTGTTACAGAGCAAGTGTTCTTCAAAGACAAGACTTGTGCGTGTGACATCACATGATACTACTGCCCTGTACTCGGCAATGTAAATATAGACTCTTCCCCTGGACGCAGGACAGTGCGTCAGCACTGTGTATTTAAGGCGCAGGTCACACGCTCCGTCTCAAACACAGTGTAACCCAAGGTCAGTGCCACGAAGGCAGGCTCAGTTAAAGCTGAAAGGTCACATTATAACCTTTACCCCCTGCAAAGCCTCTAAAATAAATCTTATTGTTTTAAACTGCAGTCTGTCTAAAGATTTAAAAACTCAAGAACACACAGGGCAGGTGAAATAAAGAGAGCACACACTTTTTCTCCAGCTGCATCCTGGTCTTTACCATCCAGATGGGGTTCATCAGAGAGTTGGTAACAAAAGCTAAGGAAAAGGGAGATAAGAAAATACTGTTTTACACTACCTGGTCCACATAATTACAAACAAAGTTGTGAAGGGAAAATGTTTTTGTCAAGCCAATTGAGGGAAATTATAAGACCACAATAAAAACTTGCAAAATATACTGCTCAGTCAGATATACAGTCAAGGAATATTAAAATGTAGTCCTTTTCTGAACTTGACAATGTTCATTTGAGAGGCCTTAAAAAGACTTAAGTTGGCACCACATTATTTT